AGTGGAACTGGACATTGCTAACAAAGAGTGCTAATATTTAGCCAGTATCCAAAGATTTCCCAAAGCACTGGGTGGCTAGCCTTTACTTGCAGTGACTGAGTCCTGCACTCCTCCTCTTTTTAGTGTGTCCTCTCTGGGCTTCGGTTTCCTCATCTGTAGAATGGAGAGACCACCAGTACCTCCTCAGGAGAGTCATGGGTAGTGCTGTGCGCAGGCCAGTACACATCACAGGCCCTCCAGGCAAAGCTAGGACGACTACTGGATTATTATTTTTTTTTTTGTCTTTTTCATTTTTATCGGTACCGAGGATCGAACTCACAACTGCGTGCTTGCAAGCAGGTGCTTATGCCGCTGAGCTAAATCCCCAGCCCCTAACTACTGGATTCTTTCCAGAAAAAGAAAAATGGCACACAAGTGTCTACTGTAAAACTCTTAATGAGTATGAAAAGAGGCATCAGCCCTAATTCTTCCCTCAAGGACTGACTATTGCCATCAATGACTATTTAGATTTCCATCAAGGGATGCAAGGAACTGTGAGCTCCTGATTTTTCCCACCTCCCGCTGTGCAGCGAGACCCTCATCCAGAGCCCAGCACCAAGACAGCGCGGAGAGGATGCCTCGGTCACATACGGTGACCAACGAGAAAAGTGACAGAAAAATGAATGGGAGGAAGGAAAGAAAGGAGGGAGGAGTGGAGGAAGGGAGATAAGAGAGAGAGAAGGAGGAAAGCATACAATGAAAGGATTGCATGGAACAAAGGAGAGAGAAGGGGAGAGGGAGAAGGAAATAAAGAAGAAAGAAAAAGAAAAGAGAAAAGAGGAAGAAAGAAAGAAAAAAGAAAAGAAAGAAAGAGGGAGAAAGGGACGCCTGCATGTCCCTCGGGCCTCCCCCTCTTGCCCCACGGGAAGCCCTTTTGCTGGGTGACTTCTGCTAACCCTCCCTGCCCTGAGGTCCCTCCCACTCTGTGTGGCCCTCACCGCATGGCCTTGCTTAGTCTTCATAGCGGCTTCACGAGGGAGGTCCTATCCATACCACACTTCGCAGGTAGGACAGCTGAAGCTCAAGGCGTCCCAGGAGTCTGCACAAACTCCCCAGTATCAGGGAGAAGCAGCCAGGTGGGGCCCTTTGTCCCTGCCCGTCTGGCCCCAGATGGTTGGCTTCTCAGGCTCTGCAGCCCAGGCAGGGACTCCTGCTCCTGCTTCTGCTCCAAGTGTGAGAAGCACCAAGCCCTAAGCAGAGCAGCGTTTAGGCCTGGGGACGCTCTTCCAAGCCTATGCGAGGCAACCCCTTCCCACATCCCAGCGTTGCCTTTGGTGAGGCAAGAATCCAGTCTGGAAAAAACAGCAACTGTTTCTCAACACCAGCTGGTGCAGCCTCAGTGGGTTTGAACAAATTCGGAGAGCAACTGGTGTCTTCCTTTCTTCTGTCCCTCTAGGAAGTGGCCATGTGTTCCTGGCTACCAGATTTTGAACAATACAGAAGCTGGAAAACTGTGGGGGGAAAGGCAGGAAGCAGGGCTCCCTGCCTCTCCAGGACTTTTGCAACTGATGGGGTGCAGGCTGTTTGGAGGCACTATGAGCTGGGCACTGACACTGAGGGCCCTGCTGGGCTTGGTCATGCCTCTGGCAAGCGCAGTGTGCTGGGTTCATTCTGGGTGGTGGGCTTGTGCCAGGCACACCCTTCCTCTTTTTAGCACAGAAGACTGCATCTCTGGCTGAGAAAGTGCCAGTTCAGAAAGCACAAGCCCTGGCTCCCTCCATTTCTGCACAGAAGTCACATCCCCTTCGCAGCAGAAATAGCTGTGGCAGCCAGTGGCCCACAGGCTGCTCACGCAGAATGTTCCTCCTGCTTCTGCTGGGCCCACACTCATCACGCTCTAATAAATGTCACTGTCAACAAATCCATCTTGCACAACTTTCTCAAGTTAATGTGAGTTTGTTATAATCACCCGTCTTTCCCATAAAGGTGCAACTGCATGCCTTCTAAAATTCCTGAAGTACTTGTGAATCTGCTCATCTCAAATTCATGAAAGCCCCTCTAAGTTTCACTTATTCCCATTGCACAGGTGGGAAAATTAAGGAAGAGCGGAGATCAATGACAGGACTAACAGCCCAGTGCAGGTGGTAGGTTGAGGCCTCAAACTTGGTCTTGCTGAGCCCAAGCCCTGTGTGCCTTTGCCTGCAGTAGCACAGTTGGGCTCTGACTGTACAATGTGCCCCTTCTGCTTGGCCTTACCTAATCAGGCTCAGAAGGACCACCTGCCTTGGCTTAGGTTTATAAAATGTGTCCTAGAATACAATGCCAGTGTAAAGGGACATAGCGGGGTGGTTTGAGAAGAGGCAGACAGACATTTCACGAGTAGGACTTTTCGAGGGAGACAGTGCCTAGAGATTCTTTCTGTGATATCGAAGTGGCATGGAGTGGAGGAAAGTTCCTTAATCTCCCTTTAGGGAAGAACAGATTCCGAGGTGACTGTGTTTGGTTCCAGGGCATCACTGCAGCCTTTGCTCAGAGCCAGGCCAAAGACCCCTGGAGTTTGCCACCAAGTAGGAGAAACTAGTTCTTCACAGGGAGGTGGGGTCTGAGAAGCAAAGCTAAGATCGGCCAGGGCCTCCTCACCTGGGAAGAGGGGTGTTAGGGTTTGAAAACTGGTGGTCATCTTAACGCCAGCTGGATTACATCAGCATGCATTGAGAGAAGATGCTCCACCTGAGGAGAGTTGCCAGGATAAATAGGTGGAGAAGAAGAGAGGTGGGGAGAGCGATTGAGGTGTTAAGGAGACATTGTGGGTTCTCCTATGAGTTGCTGTCTGAGCTGTTGCTTCTCCTGGAGAAGCTTTGGTCTTCACCTTGAGCATTGCTTCCTGGCTCAGGAGGGGAAGACATGTGCTGCCTGGTCTCCAGGATGAACTTGTCACACTGCTTCCTGGCAGGAACCTGACTGTGCTTGTTGTTGGAGGAGCTCAGGGCCTCCATGTTGCTAAGGACAGCTGTGGTGCCTTTCAGGACAGCCCTGCTCTTTGTTGTGAGTGTGACTTCTCGGCTCCAGTGTAGAACCCTCATCCCACTAGCACAGCTCCTTCATCCTGCTGGCATAGACTTTCTGGCTTCCACCGCTGACCCTTGGGTCTTCCCGGCACAAATCCGTAAAAGAGACTGGCGTGAGTCCTTCTTGTGGGCTCTGGACTTCCAGTTGGACTGGTGGAGGCATTGTCCTGAGCTCTGGGTTTTTATCTGGACTCATGTGGGACATTGCCGTGGGGTTTAGACTCTTGACTATATAATCTATGTTGGTGTTGCGGATAGATTCCCTGCATTTTCCTGTGTTAACTTCTGGTGACCATTATAAAAATACTATAAACTCCATGCCCTGATCTGAATTGTTCTCTGTGTACAACCCCTGACTACAACAAGGGGCTACAGTGAACCCCAGCAGCATGGCTTCCAGTCCCCATTCCCTGAACTGTGCAAGATCCTCAGATCCTGACTTCCTGTGGTGCTCAGGAGAGGAGGCCATGATGGCACAGCAGGACTGGAAGCTTGGCATGCCTACAACACCCTTGGTCTGTTGGGCTCCCTCTGCATGGCTCTCCAGTCCTTTGTCCTGTGTGACCTCCAGTCCCTCTGACCTTCGTATCTCCCCCCATCAGTCAGGCAAATGATTTCCAACTCAAGTCAAATGGCGATGCTCATCTTGGTGTTTAGGAAGAGAACAGAGCATGAACCAGTTGAGGGAGTTGAGCAGGTGTCTGAAGAACAGAGCAGTGTCCCTCAGGAAGGCAGAGCTGACCAGGAACAGAGCTGAGATGCCCAGAAAGGGCCCAGAGAACTGCTCATCCCTGGATACAACAGCTCAGGAGCCCCACATCTGTGTAGGTCACTGCCAAAGCCTAGGGCAGGTCCAGATCTCCTGTCTGGGGTCTGTGAGTAAGCCCTTCTTAGCTACCCTCCATCCAAGGAGGCACAGTCCCGGAGGTTCTGCCTCACCAGCAGTGTAAGAGAAGACAATAAAAGTCACTAAACAAAACCATCTTGGTATGTTGGGCCTTTTGGGGGAAGTTTTACATCCCTGGTGGAACTTTTACCAAGAATGAAATGCACACTTCTACAATGTCATTCTCTTGGCTGTCTTCCAAAAGGCCTGCAGTTTCTGCTGCCCCTCGGGGTATTTTGTCTCCACAGCCCTTGATTCCTCTCACTGTTCTCCCTTCTCTCTGTGGGCCTCATCTAAATCATGCATTTTTCTGCCTCTGATGTACTGATGTCTCCACAGAAGTCTCTCTGTGAGCTCAAGATACGTGTGGTCAAGGAACCAGCTGTGGGTACTTCAAACTTAGAAGGTCCTAAATCAACCCCTTGATTCCCCTAGCTCACTGTCTTCTGTGCACAGTGTTCCCATGACTCCCTCTTGCCCTCAGGATAAATCCAAGCCCAGCTAAGCATTCCATCTGGCTTCCCTAGTTTTAGTTCCGTTCTTCCTTCCCTCTTACACCATGGGTGGTGGTGGTACATTAGTCCTCAAAATACCTAGTGATGCGATAGATGCTTCCTGCTTGATTAAAGTCCAGGGTACTGGGTATTTTGTCTTGTGACACACAGAACAAGTGGACAAATCCTTCAGACCTTCCAAGAGCATCATGTCACATCAAATTTCCCAAAGGCCTCCAGTTCTTGTGGTCCCATCTGCCTTTGCAGCTTCCTCTGTCCTGAGCTTCTCCACCTGGCTCACCCATCTGTCCATGTAACTTACCTCTGGCACATGACTGAATCAGCTGTGGTCTGTTAGGGCATCCACTTGACATGGGAAGCTGTGTGTGTGTGTGGGGGGGGGGGTAATTTCCCTCATCAGGCAAGAACCACAGGCCTCTTGTTGGCTTCTTTACACTGGGAGAGGAGAGACAGGGTACAGGGTCCTGGGTCCAGGGCCACAAAAGACCTGAGGCTAAAGCCCAAAGATTGGAGTTTCAACTTTGCCACTTATGTAATATTGTCTTTCTGCAGGAACTCTTCAAGCTGGGCCTGGGGCCTGACATGCAGGTGGAGCTGCGAACTCTCCAGCTGCCTGTAGATTACAGGGAAGTGAAGCAGAAGATCGTCAGAATCTGGAAAGATTTTCAGCCACAAGTAAGTGATGGCCAGTGGGGCAGTGGGGCCTGGAAACTGATGATATGGTAGTGCTCAGAGCCTGAGAACATCCACAACCCTGGCTCCAGGGCTGATGGCTGAAATGTACCTCACCCTCATCTCCCACCACTGCAAAGTTGCAGCTAAGTTTTTGGGTCTGTCTGGAACAGTCTAACCTGAAATGTAGGATATATCTTAAAAGAAAAATCTAGAAGGAAAAGGGAAATATTCCCAGGTAACACTGAAAGATAGCTTCCACCTATGGAAGAGGCCCTGCACTATGTCACATATATGCCTAGTGGGACTGGTTGATTGAAATGAGGCAAAAACCTCTTGAACTAAGAGAGTTGTTGGGAGGGGGTGCACCCAGATAGGCCTCTACTTCAAAACACCCAGCCTGTTACGGTTTGTGTCCAGATGTCTCCCCAAAACCTTATGCAGTCATGGGGGTGGGCTTCTAGAATTTGTGATTGATTCTTGGTCCAATGCTGGGATTATGCATAGGAGTACTACATATGCCGTAGGGTGGGTAGTCTGCATACAATCTAAGGGATGAAAAAAAGTTTGCTCTCTCCCCCTTTTTGCTCTTGTTGCTTTTAGTATCTTCTGTTGCCATGAATGGTTGCCCTCTGCCTTGCCACCCTTCCTTGGAGCCAGCTGATTATGGACTGAAACCCCCACAAACTGTGAACTAAAGGAACCTTTCCTTCCTTAATTTTGAAGGTCAGGTATTGTTTTAGCAATGAGAAGAGTAACAAAGGCAGAATTTAGCACCAGGAGTGGGGTGTTTTATGTGACTCTACCTGACCATATGGTTCAAGAGCCTTTTGGAATGGCTTGTGGAAGAGTTTGGAAAGGTTTGGAGATGTCATCTGAAAGAGTGACATCTGGAAAAGAACTCGAATGCCTTAGACTGTTCTGTATGGGAAACTCTGGTCAGATCCCAGAAGAAATCCTGTTCCCTAAGACCAGCCTTGGGAGGTTTCTGCTGGGAAAAGGACTGTATTGGCTATTGGACTTCAGACAATGTGTTTTATGGCTTTACAGAAAGTTTCTCTGCATTTTACTTGTGTCCAGAGACTTTTTATGAGACTGAGATTAAGGGTGGCAGGGTAATTAATCTGGCAGAAGAAATTTCAAGACAGTTGAATGTTGATGTGATAGCATGGCTACTGTTGGGGGATTTTAGCCAGATCTATCTTGAGAATCAAGAGCAAATAGCCCAACAGAATTATTAGAAACACTGTGAGTTTGGCCAGAAAGGAAACCTCGGTAAAGCTGTGGACTGCACAGATAAGACCTAAGAAACAACAAGAGAATAGAAAAGATGAACTGAGGACATCACAAGAAGCAGCAATACTCCACACGTTTTATATTCCAAATTGCAAAAGTGAAGAAGACTTTTCTCTGAGAAGAAAGCTGAGGAGCATCTTATTTCAGAATGACGGTGGCCTAGCAAATTCATTCCTCAGAATTGGGTTCAGAGTGCTCAACAAACTGGGCAGTTGATTCCTGCATCCAAGAGAGAGAAAAAGCCTGGCTACTGCTCCAGCTGGCATCAGACCTTGGCATCATTCACATGGTACTGGTTTTAGGCACATACAGAATCCAAGAGTCATGGAGTTAAGAAGGCTTTTGCCTCAATTTCAGAAGGCCTGGGAGGCAGATAATGTACCCTGTGAGGGCAGTGTGTGAAGCTGTGAGAGTGAAGCCAAAGGTGCAGTGGAGACCTTAAAAGTTATGGAAAGCCAGGAACATGGTTCATCTGAGGAAAGCTGCAAGGAGGGAGCAAAGTAGGCCCAAGAGAGAAGTCATGGGATACTGTTTTGTTCAATTTTATTATAACTGATGATATAGGCAATTCTATTAGAGATAGCGGGAGGCATTATGGTAACCATTGTTGATCACCTTGTATTATGCTTTTACATTATCTATTATGTCCAGCCTTTTGATTTGATTGACTCTGTTCTGTTATGTTACATTTGGTTCTACTCCCTTCCAAAAAAGTAATAAGAACTGTGGGAGCAACAAAACCCAAAATGGGTAATTGTCATTGTACAAAAGAGAGGAAAAGAAAGTGCTCTAAACGATATAACTGCATGTATATATAAGTGTATAAGATAGATAATGATATCACTGAGTTTTGTTGGATCATTGAACAGAACTGTTTGCAGTCTCACTGCTGGAATGTCCACTTTACAAGCTTTAATTTTGTGACTTGAACAATTATTTCTAAGATGACAATATGTAATCCATTAACTAGTGATTTCCTACTGTTTATTTCTTTCTGTAAATCTGTATAACTTGTACCCTTTCTCTGCTTTTTTTTTTCTTTTTCTCCTTAAATAAAATTAAAAAAAAAAAAAAAGAAGTCATGGGAACTACAACCACTGGAACTGGCAGAGGGTGGAGCCACCCAAACCCTTTGGAGGCTATGACTTGCCACAGGTTGTGTTGGATGCTGCACACAGTATGACAGGACTTCATGCTTGCCCTGTGGAATTTTGGACTTGCTCTAGTCCCATTCCTTTGTAACTTTTGGAAAAGAAATGTTTATCTTGTACCATTAAACACTGGGGGCATTTGACTTTCTTTCCATTTGTACAGGGACTCACAGCTAAGAGTTTGCCTTATAGCTAGGAAGAGACTAGGGACTTGGATTGTTCAGCAGTGTTGAAACTGATAGCACTTTGGCGACTCTTAAGAGACAGAATAAATGGCTTTTGTATAAAGGGATATACATGACTCTTTGGGGGGTCCCAGGAGAGTAATGTTATGGTTTGTATTTGAATGTCCCTTCAAAGCCTCATGCAGTCATTTGGGACAGGCTTTTCTGAAGTCACTGAATCTGGAGTTTGTGATTGGCTCATTGTCTAGTGCTGGAGTTGGAGGCATGAGTGGTACACCCGCTCTAGGGCGGGCAGCCTGCATTACAATATAAGGAAGGGAAAGAGGCTTGCTTTTCCCCTTTTTTGCTTCTGTTGCTTTTGGTATTTTCCTGCTGCCATGAACTGTTTGCCCTTCTACCATGCTACTTTGTCTTGGAACCAGCTGGGTATGGACTTAAACCTTCACAAATTGTGAGCTACATAAACCTTTCACCCTAAAAGCTTAGGGTATGAGGTATTTTGTCTTAACAAAAAGGAAAAAGCAAGCAAGACACAGCCTATGTTATCTTCACATACTTGCTGCATTAAAAGTGGGTACAAATACTGGTTCCTAGGCCACATAATAAGATTAATAAAGCATGTACCACCAAGACATTAAGACTGTGTTATAAATGTTTAAATAACATATTCAGCAGCTATTTTTGAAAAAGAAAAATATAGTCAACTGAAATACATCCTATCGAAATTTTATTTGACTGCTACTAACTTCCTTTATTAAAGTTTCATTAAAAAGACACATGACTTTAGAGAAACACTGTGGTAGTCTTAAATACAAACTTGTGCATTCTTCTCCCCTTACTCCCACAAAAGAGAATACACTACCTTGTAAAAACACTTTGAAATATAGGGGCTGGGGATTTAGCTCAGCGGGATAAGTGCCTGCCTTGCAAGCAGGCAGTTGTGAGTTCCATCCCTGGTACCGATAAAAAGGAACAGGACAAAAAAAAAAACCTTTGAAATATAAATGCAATAAGGTTCTTATCTAATTGGAAGAGCCTAGTTTTTCATTCCAACCATATTAATTAAGGGACACAGATGGGGAATCCTTGGATTTCATGGTAGATAGGGAATTGAGATGCTTTCGCAGGGCTTGACATTTTTCATACTTGATGAGCTGGTTTCCTATGATTTCTCTGCTATTGCCTTTGTTTACACAGCTTGCTGTGCATGTGGGTGTAGACACTTCGGCCAAGGCTATTTTTCTAGAACAGTGTGGCAAGAACTGTGGCTACCGAGATGGTGACATCCGAGGCTTCAGGCCAGAGGGAGGTGTGTGCCTTCCAGGTGGCCCAGAAGTGATTGTGTCAAAGATCAGCATGAAGATGATCTGCAAATGCATTGCCATTGAAGATGTTGAGGTGACCTTTTCTGGAGATGCAGGCAGGTAGGCTTTACAGGTACAGGGGCACTAACCAAGTGGGGGAGAGGAAGTGCCCTTCAAATTCCTTCTCTCCCCTGGGAAAACCATCCCACACCATTCAGCTCGCTGCTTGGCCAGGAGCCACCTGCCAAATCACCCTTGTTTGCTGAACAGTTCCCACCAGGGCCTGGCCTAGGTCTCTTTTTGGGACTCCTCTCTTCCTAACATTGGATTTGGGCCATTGTTATAGAGATGTTACAGAAGAGATGGGAATTTTGAGAGCCAGGAACATTTTGTGGATGTTTTGCCAATTTTTGGTTTTGCTGTTGTGAGTTAATCATGTGGCTTGGTCTCGGATGAATATCCATATACCTATGCTTCTCCCAACTCTGTGTGCCCTGGAGGCGTGTTCTTCTCTCCAAGGGATGAACGAACAAATGACTTGATGAAAACATGAATAAGGGAGAGATTTACTGGGGTAAAGGTAATCTGATTAATTAGTTGAAAGCCTGGTCCTTTTCTGTCTTGGCTACTTGCTGGTCATAAAACCATGAGACCAAGAGTCAGACTTTGTCCATGTCCCCATGCTCTTTCTGAGCCAGCAGGACCTAGCCTCAGTCTCTCTGAGTGGTGGTCCTCTCTCCTCAGGCTTTGTAGGTGGTACATGCCCATGCGTGCTTGTGGTTCGCAGAGGGCTGAGGTGGTCTGAGAAATAATGTGGTGTTCCATGGGATGCAGGTACGTCTGCGATTACACCTACTACCTGTCGCTGCATCATGGAAATGGACATGCGGCACTCATCCACGTCCCTCCGCTCTCACACTGGTTCCCAGCCAGCCTGCTGGGAAAAGCCTTGCAAGCCATCATCCGGGAAATGCTGGGAGCAAGTGGGAAAGTTCAAGCTCAAAGCCAAGGCTGCAGAGAACCGAACAGCCCTGCTTCTACCTAAAGGGAGACGGTTGGGGAATATCTCCTTTACAGAAAAACAAATGTTCAGTCCTCTGTGTAGCGTTCAATTATGCCTTGAGAGGCTTTTAAAAATTCCTTGTAAAACAGTTTACACAGAGAGAAAAAATTCTAAATTAGCCCAACAAAGTCACAGAGTTATTTTATTGTCCTAAGAAAGAACTCTCTAAAAGGCAGATGTTTCACAAGGGATTAACTAGCTTCAGTTATGGTTTTCATAACAATAAAATGAAATCCTAGTAATTTTTTTCTTCTAAAACACTGTGTGCAGTGGGGCTGTGAGATCCAGCCCTGGCTTGAGGGCCACAAGCCATGGAAGTGCAGGTGCGGCCACTCCTCTAGCTCTGGTGTTTGGTTTTTTCTCTGTCTTTCCCACTACTCATTTTAACAATTTTGAAGTGTGTGGTTGAGTAGCATTCACCACATCGACACTGTGTGACCATCACCACCATTCATCTCTAGGGCTTTTTCACCATCCCAAACCAAAACTCTACTCAGTGTATGTGATGGTTTATGTCTGTGTCTCCCAAGTCTCATGAGTTTGCATTGTGCACTTGTGATTGGTTCATTGTCTAGTGCTTGGATTGATGGTGTCAGTGCTCCACCCACAAAGGGGTGGAGCCAGGATGTGATGTAATGGCAGGAAGAAGGTGTGTCTCTCTCTTTGCTGGTTCCCACTTGCTGTTTGCGGCCGCCATGAACTGCGGCCCAGCCATGCCTTGGAGCCAACTGAGTGTGGACTGAAACCTCCAAAAACTGTAAGAAATAAACCTTTCCTTTCCCAACTTTGGCCTTCAGGTATTTTGTCTCAGTTTGTGAAAGTTTGTGAAAAAGTAACTAAGACAGTGTATAAGAACTACCTATTCTCTTTTCAACTTTAGAAACCACTGTGACACCCTCCATCTTGATGAACTCAATTAGTTATTTTTAAAAAGTGTTTGTCTCTTTGTGTTTTCTCTCACTTACTATAACATCCTCAAGTGTCCTCAGTATTGTAACAGAGGATGATTCCATTGTTTTTAAAGCCTAAACAACACACCATGATATGCACCTATTATGCTTGGCTTTCCCATTCACTTATTGATAGACACTTGGATGGTTTCCACCTTTTGGCTGTGTCTAATAAGACTGCTAAGAACATTGGTCACCAAACATGTGTGCAGGCCCCTGATTTTAGCTATTTTATGTATAGACCCAGAGTAAAGTGCTGGGGCAAATGAGGATTCTGTGTTTGATGTTTTGTGGAAGTGCCATACTGGTTTTCAGTGACTACAATCTTTTATATTCTCACCAGGAGTTACTAAGGCAAGCTTTAGAGCTGGACTTAACTTCTCTCCATAATAAACATTATCCTTAACTCTTAAAATCAACTCCTTTGTTTTGATTTTATGACACTGAACTAGGTCTTGTGCCAAGCTGCTCACAGCAAAGTTCTGCTCACCCATTGTCTATCAGGGGTACAATTTTCATTCAGAACCCCATTGGGAACACTTTTATTTTTAGTGTTAGTGTGGAATTAGCTAAGGTTTAGTGCATTTTCTGTTATATTGGTCTGCTTGTGATGACTATTTTTTACTTGATTATACTAGAAAAAACTAGTCTCCTCATGCCTGGATTCATGTACTGTAGGAAAAGGCAGCTGCAAGCTAATAACAAAGGCAATGGACAAGCATCTTGCTACTAGCCTAGCAGATTTGTGTATGCAGAACAGATTTTACACTGCTCCCCTTGTAAATACACCTGGATTATTTGACATATAGCGAATCTAAGTCAAAGCCCAGAAGTGGCGTAAGATGGTGCTGGGTCTAGTGGCATAGTGGTTAATGTGGAAATATTTCTGTACCCTAGGCCAAGTAGCAGCCACTTAGAACTCTCAATTCCTTTATTCTTTCTCCTGTTTCAGGACACTGGCAAGCCAGGGATCTCTAGGACATGGTATTATTACAAATTGCTCCATGCCATGCATACATAGTGAAAAAATTTTTTAGATATTCAATTGGAGACTCAGAGCTCTCTCGTGATGAATTTTCCCACTATTTCCTGCTCTGTGGCCTCTAAGGTTGTCCATGGAAAGCCCCCAGTACATTCATATCCTGGTCCCTGTGAATGACCCCGATCCCTCATTGATTTGAGGCAGGCCTATTCAGCAATGGCTGCTGCAGGGGACTTCTGAGTTTGCGTGAAAACTATGTAGCATAAAAGGCTGAGACCTTGTTTGATTACTTAATAGCTAGAGGGTTTGGGGTATGTTCCTATGTGCATCTGTAAAACAACGCAATAAAAGCCTGCCATTTCAGGGTGCTTATGAATGTCAGCAGAAATGTCAGTGTTCACTGAAAATAGAATATCACTACTACAATACACAGCCAAGTGTGGACTCACAACTTGCTATGGTTCCAGTGGGTCTTCTAAGGGTTCCTGTGTCGGGTGTTTGGTTTCCAGTGTGCTGCTGTTGGGAGGTGGTTGGGGCCTTTGAAAGGTGAATCCTAGTGGGAAGTCCTTGGGTCATTGGGGTAGTTGCCCTTAGAAGAGATTAAAAACTTCTTTGGGATCCTTGAACTCGTATGGAGTTGTTGAGTGGAGTCCTGAAGCTTGCTGGCTTCCTCTCTTGAGATGTGATATATTCTTCCCACATGACTTCCTGTCGTTGGCCATGAGGTCCCTTAGAGCTAAGTGATGCCCACATAATGCCCATAAACCTCCATAACTATGAGCCAAATAAACTTCTTTGTGAAGTTAGCCTGTCTCGAGTGTTTTGTCATAGTAATGCAAGAGCCTGGTGGGGGTAAACAGAAGCAGCTTCCTTTAGTAATCTCAAGAAGTGGCACAGAGAGGTTCTAACTTCTGCCTTTGTCCTAAGAAACTAGAGCTCTGGCTTCTGCAGATCTAGGTCAGCCTGGAGGTGCAGTGTCAGCCTCTTGGACAGCTAGCTCAGCCTTGCAAACGAGACCTTCCTTAGTTATCTACTGTGGGTCCCCTGACTGTCAGGCTCTGAGTGACCATGGCGAGCAGGATTCCTACTCCAGCACCAAGCTTGACAGAGTGCTTAGAGCTGTAATGCTTTTTGCTTTTATAGACTATACTTGAAACTCATCAGGTCTTGGATAACTATGGCTTCATTTCCATTGTAGACAACTTTCTATTATGCTTTCTAACAGCCTGATTTCACTGATGGAGTTTGATTTTTCATGATCGAACTTCACTGAGATGCCCAGCTTATCACCCAAGTGTGTCTATGATATTCAGTCTGATTTTAAGACATTTACACTGTTTCCTTTGCCGACCACAATTCCTCCTCCACCTAAGACAACAATGATGTTTAGATTGTAGAATCTGGGGGGCAGGCAGGGCTCACTAATCACTGGCTAGAATGCGTGTTGGAGCGCTTACAGCAAGCCATGTCCTATGTGGGTCTCATGGAGGCCCTCTAAATTGGGTCACCCACAGGACATGGGGAGAGAAGCAATTCAATCCTCTGCCAGAATCAGACAGCTCAAATGTGCCTTGGGCTGACTTTTCTCAGTGGAAGATACAGGAAAGAAGATGCTTATGAATCAGTCAAAAAGAAGCACAAACTTCTGTATTTTATGTATTCTGATTTTCTTCTGATTTACTAAAATGAGAAAGAGTCGCTTCCCTGGTTTCAGCCATGGGCACAGAATGCTCACCCCCAGAAACAAGGTAACACTTTACGCAGAACATTTCCGGGTGACATGTGTGACCACGCACGTCACACAAAGCCTGCCCCCCCCCAAGCAGAAATGTAAGAGTTACGGTTCCAGAAAGGGAAGGAAGAAAACTGGAGACAGGAAGCGCATATGGAATTCTTTTATTTAACTTAAACCATGTTGTACTTTAACCACTAGAAAAAAGCAGAGTAAGAGAAACTAAAGTCACCTTAGCTTCAGCCATTCAAAATAGACAGTTTCTTTATTTCTCGTAAGAATCCAGAGTATATCGCAATAACAGGAATAAATTCTTACAACAGAATATACAAAAACATTTTATCATTTTTTAATCTATTGATTTTTTATATAAACAGAGGATTTTTAAAGGAATAATTTATACACAAGGTCATTTTATGTAACAAATTGGCCATGTTGTCTTTTTTTAAAAAATTTTACTTAAAAAAAAAAACAAAACCTTTTAAACAAGAGAAGTCAGAAAATGTATTTTTCACGATGCATCCATTCCATCGCGCCTTCTGGATCTTTTTTTTTTTTTTTTTTTTTTTAGTCCCAGAGGTAGACAAACTCTGGCAAACCTCTCACCTTAACCTCACTGGCTTAGAAAGTAGACAGGTATTTTCACCAGGCATCTGTGCTACCTGTGGATGTATGAACACGGGGCCAACCAACCAAATAAGCTGAAAACAACAACAAAAATACCAGATGGTTTCTGGACCTTTCTCCTATGGAGTACAAAATTTACAGATGTTTCCAGTAACAGAGATTTCGTGGAGGAACATGGCCAATGATGCAGTGGCAACTAGAGGACATGGATTTGAATTTAAAAATTTGAGGGCTGGGTATGCTGTGGCTTTTATCAAAAGAATTTGTTGTATATTGGAAAAAAATGTTACCTTCAGTGTTCTGCCTTAGATAAATGAATGTCTCTTTCTTGTGGAGACAATGCACTTCACATGCTATGAGACACAGAAGCAGATGGCCTGGGTGCCTCACAAGTTTTTGTGTGGTCACTGTGAAGACCATGTGCTGTGCCCCAAAGTCCTCCCACCTCTCTGGCATTGCAGGACCATGACAATAACCAAGTCAGCCAAGCAGATGCTGGGCACTGTGGCTCACCCCGGGCAGAACACCTGCGCTGTTTCTATGGCCAGTGAGGTTCCTTCCGTCCACTAAAGTTGCTACACTGCAAGGGGAAATGACCAGGAAAAGATGATCTCCTTCCCACCCAGAGGGTTCTAGAAGACCAAGATACTGAAGATACAGAACTAGTTTTTAAAATCATCATTCCTTTGTTATAAATGAGGGCACAAAGCATGAAGGAAAGAGAGTGAACCACAGCTAGGGTCTGGAAAAAAATCTTTTTTTGTTTTTGTTTTTTTCTTTTTTTCATTTTTTTTTTCTTTTTTTGGGCATATAGTAAAGCTAGCTAGTAAACAGGTGTCCTTAAAAAAAATGGATCACAAACACACATTTGCACACATAGAGAAAGAAAGTGTCTTTAAATTATTTTCGGCAATTATCAACTACAAATATTTTATAAAATTATTCTATGTTCTTACAAAAATGCAATGAAACATTTAATTAGTTCTTGTAAACCAGATCTTCGTCAACTGACTACCCGTAATCTACTGGACTTAAGAGCCCTATTGGAAATGCTAATGAGTGACTAATTAAAAAAAAAAAAATGCTTACCAGAAAGATGCAGACACAGAAACGTGGACATACAAATGAGTGATTATTATGTTCTTATAGAAACAAAATAAAACAAAATCCTAAAGTCATGCCCCAGAACTGACAACTGGTGAGAGCGATGAAGTTCGTATTCTTATACAATGTGACGTCGTGGTAAGTTTGAGGAGCAGGATGTTAGGTTTATTTGTTGAAACCAAATGCCCATAGATGACTGTGGACCCTTGACATGGTCTGATTCCTTCTGAAACCTTCAAGTTCAAACTATTGCTCCTGCTTCTTCCAAGTCCTGTACCCTTCTGCCTGTATTTCTTCTCTCTACATCCTGTTACCTAGGGACAATGGTTTCCTTCTGTCTGGTCATTCCACCATCAAAGAGCGTTTGTTTCTCTAAATGACCCACTAGTCATCCAAGCTGGAGGCCCAAAGTGAAACGCTGTGGCCTGTCCAGGGTCTGTATCTTCAGCATCTCTGGCAACAGAGGTTCAATCTAAACCACATCCTCCCTTGAAGTTCTCATTTGTATCACCGACTAGTTCAGAGTGGTGTAAGAAAGTCTCAACTTTCTTCACTGGTTCTTAAGGAGTGGATCGCTGGTCCTTGTCTCCCAATGCTGCTTAGCCCAGGAAAAGAAAAGACAGCTGACAAACACAGAAGTGACATTAACAAAGGAACAAACCCCAAACCTTAAATGTACTTCTGGGACTGCTGGAGTGGGCCAAGGCGTACCATGGAGTGTTACTGTCAACTGCAAGGTGCCTGTTTCGCAAAGGAGTTGCCTTCAACATGGTCTGGCCATCCTGAGAGAACCCAACAGTGACAGTGAAGGACCTTGGATGCACATCCCAGCTTTCTCTCCCACCTGAGCTCAGTGTGACATTGCCACTACAGTCGCCTGTGTTCGAACGGCCACTGCCAGAGAGGTGGGCTGCTGAGGTGGCTTCAGCGGATCAGACTGGCCTAGAACTCGGCATCATATATGACTTGTCAATCTGTTATCCCAACCAGAACTCACCAGTTTGTAACAAGCCATCTGCCATTTGGTAGTTTCACAGTAACTACTTTTTTATTTTGTGAAGCCACTTTTCCCACCATTGAAATGTCATCCAGAGTCCTAAGAAACGGGCTGGAATGAGAGGCCAGGAATGGCCCCAAACACAGTCTTCTATCTTCCAACGAGGAAGCTCATTCCAACTGTGTCCAACGCCATGCCAGCCCTCAGCAGGGGCCTCGCATAGCTCACGTTCAGCAGTATCTCCAGAAGACACCATCTCCTGCAGCCTCCCTCCCTCAGAGAAGGGCGATGGAGAATGTCTTAATGCTCACATCAATTCGGTGATGTGCCTCAGTGGTTCATGTGACTTCGAGCAGTGTGAGCTGCTGTCAGAAGGAGGTTGCTTGGAAAATGCCACGACTAGCTTGATTATATCATTTGGAGCATACAAAAGAGAAAAATAAAGAAGAGGTGGGAAAAATCAGCATAAAATGAGGCTAGAAGTGTGGATACATGATGCCTTGGTAGAGTCAAGGTGGGTGGGTTGGTCCAGTAAAATAACTGCACCAGCACACAAGCAAAAGTTTCCTTTATTGAAGTGTTTCTGAAGCGTTAGGATGGGTGCTGTGCTGTTAGTGTTCTCCCTCTACTTAAAGAAAACCACCTACATGAACAAAAACAAAATGACATCGACAGCTTGGACAGTTTCAACAAAACCCTTATAACCAGCTGAATGATCTGTAGAAATCCAGTTGTGGGAACAGGTAGGTTATGTGCAAAAGAGAGGAGAGGCCACTATTCCAAGGGGTCACCTACAGTGTGGAAGAAGAAAACCCTGATCAAAGTATTTCTCAATGACCTCCAGATCCCAGGGACTGGGGAGATAAGGGTAGTTCCTGCAGATGGAAAAGGTTCCTTCCTGGGCTTCATCAAGCACTGGAACTGTGCGGGCGCCATCGCAGGTGGGAAAATCACTCGCTGTGTTTCCCGGCTACCATCCCCGGGGCCTGCGAGAGCAGCCGCTGGACATGGGAGGTGCACCATCCACCCCGTGAGCAGCAGGATGGTGGGATGGACAGAGGTACACCACCACGGAGGAAGCCAGCACTGACCACTGGCCATCTAGCCCCCAGGTCTGGTACATCCCCAGGGAGGGGTGCAAGGGTGCGGTGAGACAGCAGACAGCCTCTAGAGGGGACGGGGCTTCACCTTTCTGCATCAGCACGGCTGGAGGTCAGGAGCCTCTGCTTTCTGCAGCAGGCTGGGAGGACCAAGCCCTCCAGTTGCTGATGTGGCTGTGCCCTTGAATACAACAGAGGTGGCGGCAGCAGTGGCACATCCTGGACACAGTGCTGGCCTCACGGGAGCAGCTGACGGGAGCTCATTGGGCACCCGAGTGCTGTGTGAGCGCCACACGCCTGTCCTTGGACCCCGGGGACACCTGCTCCCTCAATGGTGACACAGGTTGGTCATTGAAAGCAGCTTGGCTTCAGCCAGGGGCAGCCAGACGGCCCCCGTGGCATGTTCTCCTGTCCTTGGGCTGAGGGCCGGGAGCAGGAAACCCTAACAGCTCATCATCTCTGAAGAAGCCAGGTTAGGGAAAAAGAGAAAAGCAACACAAGACAAGACATCCAGGAAAGGCTGCCTGAAACGAGCAGAGGAGGGAGTTAGTGTCGCTCTGACCCCGAAATACAGCCTGACCTCTCCCTGCGTCACCTGGGTGAGTGGCCTGTGGGATGGATGAGGTGACCGGTACCAATGGCCTACTGTCAGGTGCTGAGAATTGTGAGATGGATTCTTTGTTTCTATATACACATATAAAAAATAAGAGTGAGGTAGATAAATGCTTGAAGAAACAAAAGACACCCAAAAAACGAAAAACTGTCCTGTCTTGCACACGCACACGTGCACACGCACACACACGCAACACACACAGCCTTTCCTCAGTATTTAAATTCATAATGGGGGCTTTTCTACAGTGATTAAAACTGGTATCACAAAATAAATTAAAGACTCCTACATATAATACCTTCTGAATTACCCTTTTTCTTTTACTCATTTTCTCCTTGAAGGGAAAATACCATGGGACAGAGGCCATGAGAGGTCACGAGACTGGGACTACTGATCAGCAATAAGTGCTACCAACTTTCTCCAGTCACAACCTAGCAATTGCCATCCTTGAGCTTTGTCCTTACTCAGAATTTAAACATTTCTGTCCCAGAAGCACCTCTGGGGCCGTCACTGCTCTGGGGAGTGCTAAGCACTGCACGAAACAGGACCCCTGGGCCCAAGGTCTGGGGGTCCCACCAGGGCTCTGGGCCCCCGTCGGCAGGCAGAGCGCTGAGGCCAGCAGACCTGGCGGTCAGCTCGATGCCCAGGGCCGGCTGCGGTACTGGGGTCTTGCTCCTTGTCGGGGCAGCCAGGTCCTGTGGGATGCTCCGGTTCTGGAGACAGGTAGGTCGGTCTAGTGAGGGTGGTGGCACAGGGTGGCAGAGGGCCCTGTGAGGCCTTGCTCTGATGCACCCTGGGACTCAGCAGCTGTTTCCCGTGGGATGCAAAGATTAAATATCCACTAAAAAACAGTAATCCAAATGCCTAATGTCTGCAGTTAAAACTGCTGTTGTACCCAAAAATTACAAAAATATATATGTGTGTCACAAACCAAAACAAAGGCGGGGGAAGAGAAGGTGAGACTGCCAACGACCGGGACCATAGACACTGGACAAGGGTGTGAGATATTCAGCCTTTGTATTTCTGACCTGAGTTTGCGTCATGTCTTGCGCTGTAACAGACTCCAACGCCGTGTGAGGTGGGTGTGGGGAGAGGGGAGCACGGGGCCAGCACCCGGCCCGGGCCCCCGATCCGCCTCTTTCCCTCGCCCGCCTCGTGCCCACAGAGCCTACAGGTTAGAAGACACAGAATGGGGCCAGGAGGTGGGAGCAGGGTGTGTTTATAAAAAGGCATCAACCAGTTCATGGCAGATTATGTTCTAGAAGTATCCGTTACTGGGAGAAGAGAAGAACAATCACACACTCTAGTACAAAGCGTAAGAAGTCTCTTGGAGTGAGCAGAAAGGGAGGAAGGGTAGACCTGAAGGTTTTCATAGATTAAATCCACAAAGATAAAGAACAAAAAAAATAGCAGCTTTTTTTTCTGTACAGACGTATAGATGAATATCTGAACCGTAAAAAAGTTATAAAAGTGACATTAAAGACGATGTGTATGCAAATGTCTCATGGTCTAACATAGAACTGTAAGACCCATGAAGAAGTCCTAGTAACAGAGAAAATGTCGACAAAGCTCAGAATGCTTGGATCCATGGCCCCGCTGCTGCTCACCGCTGGGGTGTCTCACACCCCTCCCTTGCACACCCGCATGAACGGCTGGGCTGAGTCCCTGGAAATCCCTTTCCGTCTGTGGCCCTTGGGTCAGGCAGGGGCCAGGGTAGACTGACAGGCGGACCCCCTGGACCGGAAGCCAAGCTTTCAGGTTCTCCTGGTCTGTTTCCTCCAGCCTGGGGGGGGGGGCAGAGCTGAGGGACTGGGCAGGAAGCCCCCTCAGCCTTTCCCATTTTCATGAGGGAAAATCCCATTTTGTCCAATTCCCCCGAAAAATAACCTAGTCATGGAAAGCAGGGAGCCCTGGGCGGAGGTGGAAAGCAGGCTGGGGAGAGGGGGGCGCAGCTGAATGGGGTGCACCACCAATATGTCTCTTATGTGGAGTCAGAATTAGATTGTGTGCTCACCCCACGCCTCTGGGTGGAAGAAAAACCAGGGTGGGGATTGTGAGGGAGAAAGTTCACAATTTTGGCAAAATTTGGCAGCATTAAAATGGTAACCACCACGGAGGAACCATGGCCCTTTGTAAATTTCAGGTGACCCCAAAAGGTTACAGAAATACTTAAAAAAACCCAAAACCTCCTTGTGTGCGTGTGTGCACATGTGCGTGTGTGCATGTGTGTGTGACACTGACCTATGGTGCCAGGCAGGTGTGGACAGGGGTGATGTGGGGCCCCAGGGAGAGCAGTCTCCTCCATCTGATCGAAAGGGCTTTCCAGCGGGGCTTGCAGCACATATTTCCATTATGAAGCGGAAAAAAGGAGGAAAAAGGAGAGTCAGAGAGAGACGGAGAGCGACAGAGAGGGAAAGAGTATGAGAAGACTCAATTCTCGAGTGTTCTGTTGCTATTAGGTGTTGTCATTAAGGTTCTCAGTGGCCCGTGTCAGTTAAGGGCTTGGGCAGGGGAATGAAAGCTGCTTGCATATTGAGAAAAGGAACATCCCAAGGTGGCTACTGCAGAGAAGCGGTCTCCGTGGGCAGCAGGGCAGCTCTGAAGACCCACTGAGGTCCAGGAGGCTCGTGGACTGACTGGTAAAACTCTCCTCTCCCCCCGCCCGCCGCTGAGTGTGCATACACGTTACTGCTTGCACGCGATGCGACGCGGGTCCGGGATCAGCAGGTTGACGACTGGGGCAGCGGCAAGGCCCTCTCGTTCGTGCGGCCTCCGTTCATGTGCGCGTAAGGCTGTCTCTCGTCGAAGCTGGCGCGGAGCACCAGCACGCCGGGGCCCGGGCCGTTCTCGCCCTTGTGTCCTGAGTGTCTGTCGGGCGGCGGCAGGGAGGACGAGGAGGCTGATGGGTCCAGCGGGACGCTCTCCATGTTCTCGGGCTCCAGGTCCAGCTCCTCCGGCTCGGGCGGCTTGTTCTCCTCGCTGTAGTAGAAGGAGACCTCCCGGAAGCCGGCCTCCAGCTCGTCTTTGACGCTGCTGATGATCTCCAGGAAGGAAGGCCTCATCTTGGGGTTGTACTGCCAGCACATGCGCATCAGCTCAAACCTGCGGGGACACAGGCAGAGCGCGGAACCGCTCGGGTGAGTCTTGGGGCTTCTCTCACCCTTCCCTGTCACCCCATCAGCTCATCTTTTCCAGGACCCAGCCCCTACCATGATACGGAACCCCAGTTTGACTTCCTGAGAAGGACCAAGCTCAGGTCACACAGAGCCTGTTGCCATGGGACTGGTCCATGGGGGACAGTGCTAAGGGGCTTTTACAAACGAGCAGCTTTTGGCTGATGCATCTCCTGTGGCTGCTGTGAACACTGCTTCCAGAAAGCAGGATGCCTCGGTTTCCCACTAAGGAGCCGGAGAAGTGGTCACAGCCTCTGCGAGGCCCCCGGGTCTGTTTCGAAGCCTCCCCTGGGGCAGGGACACCCTGGCAGAAGTTCTGAGTTAGCAAGTGGCAGGGCTGCCACACTCACGGAGCACACACCCCACCGCGCATCTCAGTCCAGCCCTGTCTGCGGGGCCGGGCCCATGATACAGTCAATGCTAAAGCAGAAGGCCCCAAGGGGACCTTGAGCCAAGAGTTTCCTGGGCAGGAGTCCCGGCCATGAGCAAGGGACAAAGCACAGAGCATGAAGGTGTGCTGTGCCTCAGTGACACCAGCTGGGCCACCAAACCCAGAAGCCTCCAGAACCCCCTGGGACACAGGGAGTGTTCCCAGGCATGATCTGGGGCTCTGACAAATATAAGGAGCCCAGAGACCTTGGGATCGAGGAAGAAGGCCAAGGGGCCAACTGTGAATGGACAGCACTGCAGGGAGTCTGTGAGACCGAGGAGGGTCTGCCAGTGGGCCTCCCCGACACGAGCAGGCAACCCCTCCCGGCGCTGGTCTCACTGGGAAGTTGCCTTTTGTTTTCTTTTAGAACTTCTGGTTTGTCAGTTCATTAAACAGAATAGTGTGTGCTGTCACTGATTGTTCATGTTTTGCTTTGATTTTGTCACATGAACAACTACTTCTAAGATTACAATATGTAACTTATCAACTAGTCATGATTTAATCTTTTTTTGAAATTCTGTATCATTTACCCTTCTTTCTGTATTGTTTTTTAAAAAATAAAAAAACTAAATATATATATTAAAAAAAACTTCTGGCTTCAGACATACTGTCCAAAACAAACAAACAAACAAACACCCACCCACCACCACCACCAAAAAAAGGCTAAACGGAACTCCCCATATTCAGGAAACTCAAACACCTAGACACCAAGCCTTCTGTCAGGTTGACCACATGACCAAGAGACCTATTTACATCTGGCCCCTGGGAGAACTAAGGGTGACCCTGCTGTTACCCATCGGTGTAGAAGCTGCTGGCAGAGGCAGGCTCCCCGCCCACCTGGCCAGCTTCCTTTAAAGACCTTGGGTCAGGCTGGGTCAGTCAGGCAGAGGGTAATGACCTGGGGGAGGGCAAGAGGGAGACCCATCCAGAATTTACCATCTGGAGGCCGAGGGGTCAGCAAATTACAGGTGGCCCGGCTGCTGCTGGCAGCCCTAGTTTACACATGGCTTGTGGCTGCTTTTAGAATCCAACTGCTTGTTGAGTAGTCAGAACCAGGTTGTTTAGTCTGTAAGCATACAATATTTATTGTCTGGTCCTCTCCAGAGAAAGGTGGCCAGCCCAATGTACAAGAAAAAGAACGGGGTGAAACAGGAAGACAGATTAAGCACTGTCCCTTCTGAGTCCAGCCCGGTGGAGTGCTGGCCCTAAGGGTATGGGCAGTAAGCACATGGTGGGGCCATGCCCGGCCTCAAGAGCCTGTTGATAGAGGGGCTGCTCGTCACACACCCGACAGCACATTCACATGGGCACCGAGAGACGGCATTATGTGCCCAAAGTCACAAACAGGGTGGGTGGCCATGGGGTGACATGGTCCCCTAGGAGACACCCATGTCCTGGCTGCTGCTACTCACATGAGGGCTGTTTGCACCGTATTTCTGGTATTTAGTACCTTGCGCCCCCTGCTGGTCAGGTGGCACACAGGCCTGACATCCTATACCTGTCCTTTCCCCCTAAAAGGAGACCAAATCCAGAAATGTTAATTAAACGGGCCACAGATACAAGGAGTGCATCCTGACTGCGAGCTGCAATGTCCTCTCAGCCCAGCGACTTATGCCTGAATAGAAGCGCAGCCATGGAGGGAACATGAGCTGGGTCCGGCTCTGTGCCCCGTGGCCCGGGGCTGAGGAGGTGCCACTGGAGGGCAGTGCTGTGGTGACATCAGCACAAACAAGCCATGTGATGCTGCCTGTAAAATCATCCCAGAGTCACAGCCTTCCAGTGCTGCCCATAAAAGGAAGTCTTTTTCACTCTGTGGGAATCAAGACCTTGTTTACACGACTTCCACCAGAAAACTCTCCAGGAGATGCTGGGAGGATTTATGAGCTGATAAGTCCTTTTTAAAAGAAACACTCTAAAAAAACCACTGGTCAGCCCTGCTGAGTCTGGAGCAGTCCTCCACTGGACACTCCCCTCCCAGGGCCCCAGGGACTCCTGCCCTGCTGGGAAGCGGCTTCCCAGAGCAAACCCGGGCCCCAAGAGCTACACGCAGTCAGGGCTGTGTGCACAGGCGCTTCCACATTCCTGCCGACCCCTCCTTGACCCTTGACTCCAACATCCTCAACCAACAGGCCCTGAAGTGTAGAAGTCAAGAAGCCAAGATGCTCCAGGAAGCTCAGGATCCAGGAATCCTGATGCCTGGTGCTGGCACAGCCTTGGCTGGGCACTGACTCTCACCAGGGAGACCAGATTCCAGAGCGGCCCTGCAGGACTGAGGCCACCCCCTCTCCCGGCAGCTTGAACAGCCAAGATGTCTTGGGAGCCATTCCCCATTCAGCGCCTGCAGCCGGGGGTTGTGGTCCACAGTGCTATAGCCCATCTCCTGCCAGGCTCACTGGACAGAGGCAGTCATTTCTGTCTATTTGGACTCTTGATTCCTATGAACGCTGCCCAGGGTTCTGAGCAATGAGAGGCTTTAGTCAGCAAGAGGAAAATTCAAGTTTGACAACTGTCCAAACAGATTCCGTGAAGTGAGCTTACCTGGGCTAACACTTTCCCCTGACTCCTGCATGCTGAAGACCTGACAAGGGGCCATGGGAATGCCGCCAGGACAAAGGGCTTCTTCACTTGCGTTTTTCTGGCTGAGCTCAAATCTCCTTATCCTGCAGTGTCAGAGCTGGGGCCTTTCACATCACTGGACTTCATGAAATCCAGGACTACTCCTTACTCATCCTGTGACCTCAGCAGCCGGCACGCACCCAGAAGGTTCAGGATTCTGGTGGCTTGAGTTCTGAGTGTAAGAGATGGTTGAGGATGGGCTGTGCCTTCCGTTTAAAGCATGAAGACAGCAGGGGACCATAGCCTGCACCTCGTCACATGAGACTTGCTGAATTAATTCAAGTGGAACCGGGCCTTGAGGCTCACAGGTGATGGAACCTTTCCTCAAAATCTGAATACTCTGAGGCGCTAGGGAAGGGGACGTGGCCTAGGCATTGCCCAACAGCCGGAAGGTCTTCCTGAGGCTGAGCTGAAGTCCCTTGGGGGCCAGCGAGTGCCTCTCTCCTCTCACAAACTGCAGTTTCTCTCCCGTACGGGACCCCGAGGGTCCAGGACACTTTCAAGGCATTAGGGGCTCTCCTCTGGGATAAACAGTTCATTCTTTCATTTCACACAACAAAAAAACCCTCTCTGAGATCGGTTTCTCCTCCCCCAAGCCCATCGGTAAATTCAGGAGGACAGCACAGACACTCCCTATGAAACCAGCATGCCTCCCTTCATTCTGTTCTTAGAAGGGAGGCGGATAGGCCAAGAGGGTTCTGGATGGCAAAGCAGAAATAAATGCCTTCTGAATTAAACATTTCACACTCAGAGGTAACCTTTCTGTGTAAACTTCCTCGTCACCCCGTGCTGGGAACAGGAAGTCCCCTGCCTTTCCCATGGCAGGTGGGCTGCTTCCCAGGCATATTAAATTAATATTAAAGCTCCAGCCGTCTGGAGGCGGATCAACTTCAAGAATCCCATAAGTTTCCCAGAGATAAACGTTTACCCGAGTCAAAGAGAAAACACAAAAACAATACTTCTCTTGTGACGAGCCCCAAACCACAGGAACAGAACTCACACCTGCTCTCTTGGACTGCTGCTAAGCTTGCTACACGCCACTGACTTGCGTGTTCAAATCTCGTCTGGCACTGTGCACCTTTATGCAAATTCAGTGGGCACGGATGTTCATACCCTGTTACTTGTATCCTGGTGCTATAGGAGGCTTTTTCTTAGAAACTGGCTGGTGCCAAGATAGCAGCCATGCTGTGGCGGGTGCAGAGCAGCTGGTCACCTGTGAGGGACGCTGCAGGTGTGAGGAGTGGGAACAGGCCTCTGGGGCTTTCCGGAGGTTCTCAAGCTAACCCCCTTCAGCATCTTGTAATCTGGAAGAGGTGGCGCAGCCCACTGCAGTGTCCACTCTGCTGTGGATCATTAGTGGCAGGGCAGGGAAGGGCAAGGTAGGCAGTCTCCAGCCCACGGGTCCAATCTGGCCGGCCGCCCGCCTGATTTTATAAGGCGTCTGAACTGAAAGTGGTTTTTAAATTTGCTAAATGGTTAGGGGAAAAAACTCAAAATAAGAATACTTAGTGACAACATGGAATTACGCGAAATTCAAATTTCAGTATCCAAAAATAAAGGTTTCACTGGAGCACAGCCCCACTTGCTCATGTGATCTCCCCGGCTGCTTCTGCACCACAGCAGCAGAGCTGAGTAGCTGCAATCAAGCTCATAGGGGTGCACAGAGCCAAAGAAGGCATTTACTAGCTGGCCTTTTAGAGTCTGCTGGGCTCTGCTCGGGTGCAAGCCAGCTGTGTGTCATGAGGACATTCTAGCCGCGTTACGGGGAGGTCCTCTAGAAACCGAGCCCTCACATGGCGCACAGACGCGGCAGTGGCTTGGAAGTGGATCTGCCACCCCAGGCAAGCTTTCAGATGACTGCTGACAGCTGGACTGCAACCTCCTGGGAGCCTCTGAGGCAGAGGCTAAGAGCCACTACCCTGCTTCCAGAGGACAGAAACCCTGTGACAAAATCAGTGTTCATCAGTGTTTCTGACTCTTAAGCTTTGGGTATGGGTGGGGTAGTGGGTATTTCCATGTAGGCAAGAAAATATTCCAAGTGGCCTTTGGGGGCTCTGCCAACTTTGGGCTGCAGAGTCCCACAAAGGCTGTACTGGGAGGTCGCCCTGATGAGGGACACAGGAGACCCCATGCCTTGGTCACTGGTGGCTTTGCCCCCTAGGCCCAGCACTGCACCTACTGTTTGCGGATACAATGTTTTGTTTCTAAGGCTGCAGGAGTAAGACAACCCCAAATTCCTGTTCTTGGTGTGAACGTTCCACACAGCCTCCTGTCTGAGCATAGGTGGGACTTGTATGATGGGATGTTTCATTCCTTTAAATAAGCTCCTAATCAGGTGGCTGAATTACTCAAAAGGGACATTGTCTTGCAAGGGTTTGATCTAATCAGGTCTGAAAGAGCAGAAGCACTAGAGCCTCTGCTGGTCTTGAAGAAATAAGCTGCAGTGCTGTGAGGACCAGAGGAGGCAGCATGTGGCAAGCATCGATGTGGCACTGGGCTCTAGGGGATGAACATGGTCTCCAGCTGACCAGCAGCAGGAGCACAGGTCCTCAGTCCACAATCTGCAAGGGCTCACTCTTGGCAGCTACCTGAAGGAGCTACAGGTGGGACTACCGCCTGGCCCCCTTGATGGCAGCCTGCTGAGACTGCGTCTGAATTTTGGGACAGAGGTACCCGGAGACCCCAGCTGAGCAAGGCCTTCATGCCCGCTGGGCCCACTCCCTAGTGGCCACTGGCCACGTGTGTCTGACCCCTTCTGTACGTCATCCTACCACAGTGGAGGCCGAATGTCCCCCAAGGCCCATGCAGTGCAGGTTTAGCACTCAGCCTGTTGAGCTTTTCTGGTCACTGGAGGCATGCCCTTGAAGGGACAGCGGGACTCCAGCCACCACTCGCTTATTTCGTTTCCTGGCTGTAAAGAGAGTGGTTCTGTTCTGCCACACAGTGCCACCATGATGTGCTACTCACCATTAGGCCCAAAGCAACACTGTCAAGTGACCATGGACTGGAACTTCTAAGACTGTGACACTTTTTGTCTTATAAACTGATTAGTTCTGCTGTTTAAGATGCTGGGAAGCTGACAAATGCAGGTCTCCTCCCCTCGCCCCCCGTAAAGAATGTTATGCAGTGAGTGGGTCCTAGAGAGTCATGAACATTCATTAGTTAACAAATCTCAGAAATGCTGAAGGCATTTTTTCAAAGAAGTAGGTAAGGAGACAAATTCATCAGTACTCCAGGCTGGGTGTGCTCAGACTGTCTCCAAAGCAAGGGGCTTAACTCTGATCCTGGTCAGCACTGCTTATGGGGTGGCACTTAAATGGTCCACGACTTAAGAGAAAAAACTGGGCTGAGGTTCGCACTATGAATCCTTAGCATCAAACTCTGTGGACACCAGGTGTGGCAGTCCTCAGCCTGGCAAAGTCTGGGGAGAGGCTCTTGAATTTGACTGAAGAGTAGTAAGTGCTGTTTTACTGTTTTCTTGTTTTTTAAACTTTGTATGGAAAAGATGAGCAAAGATTGCTTTGGTCAAATACTGCAAGAGACACTGGGCCGGAGAAACCACGGTGCAAACTGCAGATCAGAACCAAAAGATTAAGGAATATGGGGCGGCATCAAGATGCCTGGAAAGGCACAGGTCCCATAAACCGGGTTCCTCATTCAAGGACCAACAAATCCTCTTTTAATCTATTTCTGTTTCCACAGGACCAGAAAGCATGGCTTCCAGAATTACTAATCTTAAATGACCCAGGAAAAGTTATTCAAGGAAAGAAATAGAAGAGCTGGGGTGGGGGGCGCGCAAAAGATACGTACAGCATGTCTGGGCAGTTGTCGGGTTTGTCCAGGAGGCCACCCTCCATGACGAAGCGAAGGACTTGCTCGTTGGACAAGCCCTGGTATGGCTGCTCAGCCAGCGTGGCGATCTCCCAGAGGACGACCCCGAAGGACCTACAGGGGAAAAGAACATGAGTGGCGTGGGAAGGGACAGGCATGACCCTTCTCCAGCATTTCCTCACAATGGAGCACTGAGAAAGTGTCCTCACTGCCACGCCAATGCCTGATGGAGACCGGGCAGGCACTGGGCTAGGTGTGGGACATCTGCCCTCCTCTGTCTAAGGTTTCCTGTACAATAACCATAGTTCTAATGGCAAAGCAGAGGAAGCTGCCACCGGCAGAGACTTCAGTGGCCCCTGCACTGTTCAGGGGTACTTGATCTAGGTCACACACTCTCAAGGTCAGGCATAGCCATTTACCCAAGCAAGCTGGTGTCTCCAAATGAGTCTCAGCCCAAGAATTAAAACAGGCAAGGGCCCTCCCACCCCAAGCCCCAGCCTGGACCCGCCTTGGGACAATCAAACAGCTTAATGAGCTCCTGGGCTGATTCTTCTCATCAGAGAGTTTGGAGGCCTCTGTTCCCACGTGAGCCTCATCCCTCACTGCACAGGAGGATCTCCCAGAAATTTTAAACACTGATCAATACCTGAGCTGCACTGACTTGATGTGTGTGGGTAAAGGGCCAGGCCTGGACATATTTAATAGTTCTACAAGAGTCCTGAGACACACTCAGGCCAAGGTAAAAGTAAAAGAAAGCCCCTGTCCTGGAGCCCAGAAGCTACTGGCCCGAAGGACTCTGTCACAGGCATGGAGACCAGAGTGGGCTCCACTGGCCTGCAGCACCCCCATCGTCCCCCAAGAGTCTTTTCCACAGAGGCTGGCTGAGGAGGACATGCAGTAGGCCGGACAGTGAGCAGATTTGCCGGGCATGCAGTTTCACCAGTGAGTTCAGAAGAGCAAATTAAAACATATATGAAACTTCAGACAGATAATACTGAAAAAACCCAAAACTGAAAACACTGTGCTGTCATCTGCAAAATAAATGTGCCTCCCACAGCTAAGCTCACCCTTGACGAATTTTTCCTGGTCCATCTCTGCCTTCATACTTGAGTCACTTCAGCCAACCCGCAAGGCTTCTCTAATGGGCCCTGCCCCAGGCTTAGGGTGCTGGCCAAGCCTCATGGAAAACAGGGCAGGGTATTTCCCACTGAGTGCTCTGGGGATTCTGGCCTTGTGGCGGAGCTGGGTGGAGGGGAGCTGGGGTGCTCTGATTCCGGAATGTTTTGTTGGCTGCTTTAATTCCTTTCCATGAACAAAAAGCTTTTTGTACAAATTGATACTAAAAGCAGATGTTAGAAATAGAATCTTTGCAGAGGACTGACCAACCCAAGGTCTTTTCTAACTGCCAGTGCCCAAGAAATAGCCTTTGTGCTGCTCAAGAGACCCAGAAAAGCCAAAGATCCAGAGACCCAAGTGTGGATTGCAAAGACCTGGGCTGTCTAAGAAGGGTTTTCCATCAACTTCTGTGGGCGAACCTGTGCTTTCCAAAACCTACCTAGTTATACCTATAGCATGCCTTGGCGGTTGCGGTGCCTGCCCTCGCATCTGCGTGGGGACCAGCATTAAAGTCTGTGCCAACTGCAGGCTGGTCCGAGAATGATTTGACGACTTGGTTCCCTCCTGGCCTACCTCTGCCTCACCTGGTCTTTCCTGCTGTGTCCCTGTCTTCAGGGAGCCAGGTCTTGCTAGTCGGCTCCCACCTGGACCATTGCCACCCTCAGAGCTCTACTCCAAGCTCCTGGCTCCTTGGCTAACCACACCTGTCTTAAGCAGGACTGTCCTGCACCCCGTTCTCCTTCTGGCCTCCGCAAGCACCTACCACAGCTTGCCAAATGAGGCTCAGGGCTGACAGACAGTCTGGCCCCAACACTTCCTTAGTGGCCATGGGGTCCTTTGTGCCCGAACTGCCACACCCCTTATTTTGGCTCCCACTTCTGATGCAGGACAACCCCACATCTGGATAATGCAATGTTCTTGTCAAAGCTCCAAGCCACACTCTTGTTCAGAACCTTCACTTTATGGCAGAGGATGCAGAATTAGTCCTAAATTCTTAAGGGCGCCTGAAGGTTTATGTGATCTTCCAACCTAACTCCCTAAAAAGCTTCATTATTCTCATCTGCAGCAGCTCCTCCTATCACATCTGCCCGGAGCACCTCCACTGCCTGGAACCCCTTTCCTATGGTAGTTGGCGACAGTCCCTATTTTATCACGCCCAGGACTTCATCTTGTCTATTTTAAGGCTTTTATGACCCCAACCTACTATTTTACTTCTTGTTCCCAAGACTTGATTCCTGGAGGACAGGGATGGGGTCTCTTGTCATCTCGGCTACTTTCACATTCTGAGGTCCTCACCATCACAGGCACGAAATAAAACAGGAAACCACAGAGTTGACCTGCACAGGTGCTTGTCATGTTGAACTGCGAAAGCTCTTCTCTGAACAACGCTGTCAGTGTCACCTGCCACTGAGAGGCACCTGGTGCTGTAGTCGGTGGTTATCCTGCTAGGACTGCTCAAGTGACAACTGAGTCCTGTTACTCTGTGCTCCAAGGTACAGAAGCTATGCCATCACTACCCAACACCAGCCATCACAGGAGCCATCCGGATACTTATCAAGGTACCAAGGCGGGAGCTGGGAACACAGAGAGCAAGCAAAGCCCTAGGACGTGACCAAGGCCACACAGCTGCACTGGGACACAGGCAACAGCCACGTGCCTTTTAAAGCATGCATCTTACTACACGGTGCTAGCTATTAGTGACCTCACTAAAGTCTTGCATTTTTTGTGGACAGGTTTGATCTTTGAACGGAAGACAAATGCATCCGTGTATTCTCTCAGCATGAGGATCGTGATGTCTCCACAGGTGACAGACCTGGGGTGTGTGGCTAGGGTTGACATTCAGGGCCTGTGCTGCCCCACATGGGGCAGGGAGCATGTCAGTGTCCCAGGCACTAGCAAATTTACCCCTAGAGAGATCTTCATTGCCCAAGGGTGGAAATTAGCCACCAAACTAGCAAAAAGCCCTGGATATTTGGGATTGTGTGGAAAGTTTCTTAGTAAGTCAAGGAATGGAGGCTGCTGGGGGGGGGGGGCGATCAAGAGTAGTGGGGTGCCACTCCCCAGTGTGGTGGTCTGCTCCATGCCTAAGGACACACTGTGTCCTCGGAGGCCTGAAGGCCACCTGAGAGGTGTGTGACAGAGGCAGTGAAAGCACCCAAAGGCCTGGGAACATCTCAGAAAGGAACCTGGGTGCTCTGACAAGTCTGCAGCTTGTCTGATCAGGAACACAGCATGCAAGGTTCTGCAAGCGTCTTCGTCAGGAGGACTGAAATGCAGCACAGAAAGGTGTGCATAGAAGGTGAGGCAGGCCTCCAGCTGGGAAGGCGGCTCAGCACGGTTCAGTCCCGGCCTGATCTCTGGGGTGCCTCCTGGCCTGGGATATCTGGGTCACTTAAAAAGTCAAATAAAGGGGCTGGGAATTTAGCTCAGTGGCATAAGCACCTGCCTTGCAAGCAGGCAGTCGTGAGTTTGATCCCCAGTACCGATAAAAAAAGAAAAAGACAAAAAAAAAAAAAAAAAAGCCAAATAAAATTCTTTGTTTTTTTCTCTGGGTTCTAAATATGGAGGAATGATTATTTTGGGCTGATGAATACAATCTGAAATGCTTTGCATCATTTTTAGAGGGGCAGTTCCGGATTAAAGCCCAAAGCTGCAGAGAACACCTAAGCATGTCCTAAGCATGTCCCGGTGCTTCTTCAACTGATCCTCAAAGACTGAGTTAAAAAACAAAACAAAATAAAAGTACAAAAAGGGTTAGACGATGGTACATGATTGTAATTCCAACAGTCTGGGAGACTGGGGCAGGAGGATTACAAACTGAGCCCAGCCCACGAAATTTAGTGAGAACTGTCCCAAAATTTTAAAAAGTGCTGGGAATATAGCTCATAAAGGCCCTGGGTTACCTCCCCAGTACACCCCCTCCACACACACACACAGAAAAAAGGAAGAGACCAAAGCACTACATCGGCCTGGATAGTGAACGGGGAATGACTTCCAAATGCCTATTCGCCTGCCTATTTTTCCTCATTAATTCATTATGTCACACTGTGGAAAGGAAGGGAGTGAGGACAGGACACCCTGCTGCTGCTCACAGCAACAGCAGCTAACCAGAACCCACCCGGTAGAAGCCGCCTGTGAGATGTTAACAGCTCCAGGCTTATCTTCCCACCCAGCTTGTTTTCTCCCCTGTAAGCTGACCTCAGAGCTCCTGGAAGCAGACAGCCTAAAAGGGTGGTGGTAAACCTATGACACGTGTGTTGCAGTGGGCTGTCTGCTATCACTGAAAGCTGCACACTAGTGCCTGAGTATGCTCCCTCCTACAGTTCACTCTAAAACTGATGCAGAGCGCTCTGATTTGATGGGAAAGAGCAAAGCATCTTGGCGAAGCTGATAGCAGAACAGATCTGATCCTTGGGCTCAAGAAGTGATCAGGCTTTGCTGGGTCATATTCCAATGCTATTTCCAATTTGCACCTGTCTTCCAAATAAGACCCAAGACCCTTGACTGAGAAAGGCTCGTGAGGTTAAAAAGTGATGCTGGTCGCTGTTGAAATAGTTCCTCTATGCGGTCATCGGGAGAGCTGGAGTAAACAACTACCTTTTCTGTAACACAAGAGCAATGGGATCTCCCAAGAGGAAAACCAAGATAGTTGCTGACATTTTAGAAGGTGCATGTGCCAGGGATTTTGCCTGCCAAGAACCTCAGTTGTATTTCAGACCTGACTGCCTCTGCATAGCATTTCCAAGGAACTGCAATAAACAATCCTACAGGAAAGTCCTTGTATCCTCGGCTGAGGAGACACTTTCATTATTATGCATAACCATCCAAGGGTCGGCTACTATGGAATGCCCATGGAGAGAGCACAGACAGAAGATGAGACCAACAGGAAACACAGTCAAGGCCCATATAGCTCTGGGTCTAAATAAAGCACTGTCTGTAGTGTAAAAGATTCACGGAGTCAGCACGCATGTGTGCACACACAACACCTATTTCCTGAAAAGGAGGGCAAGACAGTGCTGGCCAGTGGGGGAGAAGCAGAAAGATGGGCGGGCTCTTGTACGTCTTCTAGCTCCTGAGAGCATTGCTGGTATCTGCTCAGGAATGAAGAGAATGTTGGTCCCACAAATTCTTTGGAGTCCCACAAGTGCCCTTTGTCCTCAGCTAGCCTGCAGACAGCAGGAGCATCTTAAAGATGAAGGAATGTGGCTCCGACATCACTGAACCATAGCTGGAAGTGGGCAACCATGAGCAGAAACTGGGAAGACAGACAGTCCCCAAGCCACAGCCAGCTACACAGGCCAAGGCCCGCAGGCCCTGGCTGTTCTCGCGGGAGAAGGCACTCATACCAGACGTCCGAATGAGTGGTGAAGACTCCATCCTTGAGGGACTCAGGAGACATCCAGCGCACAGGCAGCAGCCCTTTCCCTCCTTTCCGGTAGTAGTCTGTCTCGTAAATATCTCGCGTCATCCCAAAATCTGAAAGGTACAGAGAAGGTGTGCAATGACACACACTGCAGGGCCAGCTCTGGGGCAAAGGGACCACTGCTGCCACCATGGGGGCCTGCACCACCTCCATACTCAAGCTGAGACACAAGTATGCTTCCCGTTGGGGACCCCAGTGTTAGGGTTTGCAGTTCGGAAGGCAGAAGCAGAAAGAGGCAGTTAGTCAAGTGACAAGCAAATAGCAAGAAATCTTTGCTTTTTAAACACTCGCAATTTGGTTTCTTCAAGCAGCTAGTTCCCTTACGGCGTTTACCACGAGAGGTGGTCTGTACACTACTGAGGCCCATGATTACTAAGACAGACCGCTCTGACCATATGGTGATATGTGGCTTAAAACCTTATCGAAGCTGAGCATGGTGGCAGCATATGCTGCAAGCAATCAGGCTTTGCTAGGTCATATTCCAATGAAATGTCCAACTTGCTTCTGTCTCAAAATAAGACAGAGGCCCTTGACTGTAGTCCCAGCTCCACTGGAGCCTGAGGCGGGATGATCGCATGTTTTAGTTAACCTGGGCAATGTAGCAAGACCTTGTTTCAAGGTAAAAGAGGAAACAGACTGGGGATGAGGCTCAGTGACACAGCACTTGTTCAGCATGCACAGGGCCCTGCTGAGGCCTCAGTGACTCAAAAAGAACCAAACCAAAATCAAAACAAACAAAAAACCCAATCAGATAAACAAGAGACTTGCTAGCCGGACCCACTGCCAGGGAAAAGAAAGAAATTTCATTGCTTAATAAAGGGGAAAATATTCAGAGTAACAAAGGTACAAGATGCACCATGGAGCTGAGAGACGCTACTGAGGAGGGCCCCGAAGCTGGCGTCTCAGCACCCTTCTTCAGCATAATATCCCACTCATCCATGAAAATGTCTCCCATTTTCTGTGTCTCTAGAAGATGTCACATAATTAAGTTTGATGGCAGGCTTGCTTTACAATCCTAAATTATAGCCTCTTTGTCAAATTTTGATTTTCCACTCAATCACACAACCTTTCCTCACACGATTCTTCTGTTCTCCCTCCTGGGAGAAAGGGCTGCTCTATTTTTGAAAACGTCCATTCACATCTCTAACTCCTGCCACAAACAGATGAGGCTATACAGTGAACCCAGAGCACATTTCTTGGATGGTAACCAACATCGCTCGCTTGTACTACGCAAAAGGGCCTTCAAACTGCCTCTGGTGAGTTACTCTGTCAAGTTTGTCATCTGTGAGCCACTGGGTACCAGGAAAACATTTCTGAACCCTTGTGAAGAACAGAAATGAAGTGCTAATGTCTCCTCTCTGAATTAACCTGTGATATGCAAATGAGAGGATCTGCCTTTATGGTTAAAAAATAGAAAAGGAGAAATGCCAGGGAAAACGCTCTTCTTCCTAAACATGCACACATACATTTTATTTCTAGAAAGAAAACCACAATTATAAAGAAAGCATTCCTATAAACAGGCCACAGTAAAAGAGCAGATCTCATCTTTGTTGATACGGATTAAAAATGGCAAGTGGTAGCAAAACACCTTTCATCCACTGCAAAGTGGAACAGACAGCAGCGTTCACTGGGTCCCCCTGTGCCCCGGGAAGGGTGGGGAGGAGACGGGAAGGAGGGAGACGAGAGCTCACGTTTGCTGACAGCTGCCCCACAGGAGCACACATTGGCTCCTTCCTGCACCTCGTGCTTCCCACAACCTCCTGGGGTTTGTCCCATCACTGCATTTCCGAAGTGAAGAAGCTGAAGCGGAAAGGAGTGAGGATACCTGAACCAGACTGCTCACCCATTAAGGTCTGACCAGGACCGAAGCTCCCCTGAACCAAGGAGGAGAAGCTACGATAGGAATCCCCATGGCGAAGTGAAAAATGGGAGAGGCAAAAGGAGGCCCAGCTGGTAGGAAGCTCAGCTCCTCCCTGGAGTCCAGGGCAGGACAGCCTCTGGACCCTCCATGACTCCCTGGGGAGTTGGCCACTGTGACACACTCAGCCTAGGAACAGGCTCAGAGCACTGGCTCTAGGGACTGTGCCTCTGCTCCATGATACAGATGCAGCCCAACACCTCTGGCACCTACACATAATGTAAAGAAGGGTGCTCAGCCTGCTTAGAAACTACTCTTGGGGTGGGGTACTCGTAGCTCACTAAGGGGTCAAAACATTTCATTCAAAAAAAAAAAAAATCACTGCTAAAAGGAAAAAAGCATTGCTAAAGGCAGAAGGCTTTCAGAGCACAGGGTTCAAAAGCTTCACAAAGAGGTCAACTGGAAATAGTTTTCTTTGCATGCTAAGTCTCCTCTGCAGGTTCTCAGGGTATTTGGTATTTCTCTGAAATATCATCCTATTTTAGAGGGAAGATAAAAGTTCTGCTAAAAGCAGGTGGTTTCCCGAGTAATCCTGATACTGTGTACATATTTGCTAGGTGGATTAAAAGTCCATAGCAAAAACACAAACTGAGAAGCTGAAAAGAATTTCTGAACTGTGATCAGAAATTCAGTCTAGCTCTTTTTATTTATTGATTTTTGTTAATGTTGCAGTGGTGGGTGGCAACGTGGGGTCTAACTGGTAGGTACGCCAGCTAAGATCACTAGCTTTGGGTGTGAAATCCACTAGGCAGTGACCTTCCTCCCCCAAGGGGCTGCTATGTCTATCCTTGTCACAGATCCTGCTCTGTGATGAGCTTCATGTTAGGGTACTTCATGTCTCAGAAAAACTCTGGGCCTGGGGGCGGGGGGGGAGGCAGGGTGGATTTCTTTACACAGGATGAAAACTGAAGATTATATAGTGACTTCTATTCTCAAGTCAAAGCCACTTGGGGACACTGTCTTAATGATTTCTGTACCCAATGCTAAGAAGCGTTCCACCTGAGTGACCTCAGAGACTGTGGCCACTACATGGACCACCAATGTCTGTGCACTGGGAGGACTGCAATGACTGACAGCAACCAGAGACCACCACACTGATTTCAAGTCTTTGCATGTAAAAGGCCTGTTTGGAAAACTTCCTCAGCAGCAGGCTAAGGCTCCTAAGGTCCCTAATCTCCTGCAGGTTTAGCTGTTACTTAAGCCAAGGATGTACCTCCAATTTTGACTGTGAAATCTTCAGCTACCATGCAATTGCGGGCAGCAAGGTCTCTGTGGACAAACTTGTTGGCGTTGAGGTATGCCATGCCATCTGCAATCTCTCCGGCCATCTGGATCATCTTGCTGAGGCTTGGAGGTGCCAGGATGGGGCTATTCTGTTGGAGATTAAAAAAAAAAAAAGTTCACAGGAGAAATTTTAGGACTTTTTAAATTTTGAGTTCCTTTAGGGTTTGAAAATCCATCTTTATTCAATCCCAGCAACACAGGAACACATTAAGACAGAGACACGGCCTTTCTTGGTGGTACAGTCAAGTGCCTGCCTCTGACTACATCACACAGGGTGACCTACTATTAGTGTCATGACTTGGGACCAGCATCTTCTATTCTGGATAGCGCAAAAGGTTATTTAAAATGAAACAAACCACAGAACTTGTTTATATTAAGGACACAGTTACCCAGATCCCTATTAATTCTTGTACTCTTTTCATTTCCATATTCAAAGTGCGGGTAAAAGGAAGACACACACATTCTAAAGACTGCAGAATCAATCAAATGTGCTTCTAAACGGACCCTTTGTCTCCCAGGTAAGCGCCATCAGGAATTATTTAATCTTGTCCTCTTCTTGCTGCTTTCTCCTAAGGTATACAGCTACCAGGAGTATATCTCCACCTTGGATTAATGTTTTCTGTGGGCATTGGATATCTAAAGTGCCCAGTGCAGAGAGACTAGCACAAAGCATGCCCCATAGCACGGATAGGCATCCTCTGGAATGCAGTCTGAGAATTAACCCTAAATGATAACAAATCTGTTTGGAAAAAGATTTACATCTTTTTCACATATGCCCAAGGCTCTCAATTCTAAAACAGAATGCAAAAACAGAACACAATCCCACTGCTTAGATGCTAACTAGTGTTTGTGGATACTGGTGTCACAGATTTTCTTGTGGATTTCCTAACGGCAAAAGCACCTCATGCAACTCTGCAAAATGCTCTGAGAGCTCTCTCTGAGAGCTCCTGCCCAGCACCTCCCCAGATCAGGCCTTGGGAGCATAGGAAGAGCACGCCAAGGACTCTGGGATCAGGCTGCCTGGACCCTGCAACAGACTCTATAGGGACCTACTGCTGGGAGAACAAAATATACATGGTAAAGCAGGAGATGAGGGGGTGAAATGTCAAGGTTACGCTCACAGCTACTCAAGTACTGGAGCATGAAATACAGGTGTTTACTAGGAAGTTGTAAAAATCAGAATCAACAGAAGGAATTTAATCTTAAGTGCTGAGAGGAAGGGCTGATCGTTCACTAATTTATGCATTACAGGACTGTTCTCTCATGCACTTTAAGTGGGCAAAAATCTTTAATTTGGTTAGAGCTACATACGAGAGCCTACATACACACCTATACTCCACAAGAACCTTCAGCAAACCCTCATGGAAGCAAGGCAAGCAGACTACAACTGTGCGATACACACATATATTTTCATGCTTAATGTGAGTCAGGAAGAATTGAAGTCTGACAAATCTGTAGATGAATTTTAAATATGGAAAGGACTTCGCTAATCATCTTGTGCAAACCATTCCACAGGAGGTACTGGAGGTCCAGGACCTGTCTTGCTTACACAAGATGTGTGGCCAAGGGCAAAGCCACGCTGAGACTTCGAGTTCTGACTTTTAATTTCTCCAGTGAGGCAGCAACTAAGCATTTTTACATATGCCCAAGGCTCTCAATTTAAAAAAGAATGCAAAAACAGAACATGATCCCACTGCTTAGATGCTAACTAGTGTTTGTGAGTACTGGTGTCACAGATTTTCTTGTGGATTTCCTAATGGCAAAGCACCTCATGCAACACTGCATGTAATCCCGATTACACTTCGGGCACCTGTGGGTCAAACCTTCCTCCTTCATGGTGTCCTGAGGATTAAAGCGAGCTAGGAAGAGAGGTCCCACCACACAGGAACCTGGGAGAGCTATCAACCACCCTGCTCGGAACCTCGGTCCACACTTGGCCTTCTGGCTTTCCCAAAACCCCAAACATCTTTGCTGTAAATAAATGTGGTCATTTATGAACAGGTTATGCAGAATAAATGCAAAAAAACTGTCAGTTGGAAGATGATTTAAGTTGCAGATTAAAAGAGGGAAAGTAAAACTTAGATAGGGAACAGCAACAGAAACACAAGAGGGGTGGAGAGAGAGGAGCTACTGCTTCCGGGGAACACAGGCAGCACAGCTTCTGCTAAAAGCAGCAAAGTCAGTGTCAAAGGGTGGGGTTCAGACCCAGAGGGGCAGCCAGCAACAGGCACTGATTCCTGCCGTGATCCCTCGGCATTTACCTGCAGTTCGCTCTCAGAGGTGATGACTTCACCTCTGAGAAGTCAGGCCTCCACAGGGGACAAGGCTGGCTTGTGGGTTAGTATGACCAAGTGGAGATGCCACACTGACTAATGAAAACCTGCACAGGACTGCAGCAGGCTTAGCATCTGAAATTCTTACTAGAGTAAGCAGAGATCCTGCAGCTGAGGTGATTACCATTCAAAGGCATGGGCCTAAGAGGCAGATCTAGAGCTAGAGAAATCTTGCTTCCTGGTCTCAAAGGCACAGATCACTGAGAGTGCAAGGGAAGGGCCATCTGCGTACATATAGTCATGTGAGTGTGTGCGTGTGCGTGTGTGTGATGGGCTTGTGGGTAAGCAGATTTGTGCACAGGATGGGGTGTGAAGTCACCCTAGCAACTTCTCAGAGGCAAGGGTGAGAACCCACCCCTGTGGCTGTCGGTGCCACACTGGGTCTGGGGTGAAGAAATGAAAGCACGGGCTGGAGAGGGGACCCACTCAGAGGACCACAGCAGGAAAAGGTAGGTGCTGGTTAAGTCACGCGACTCAGGAAGTTAGCAGAGGAGAAAGTGATGGCTGGAGACGCACGGCTTTGGGGAAGGAGCAGCACTGGCATGGCCTGGTGAAGGAAATGCAGTCACAAAGACGCAGGGTGGACAGGGGTCTGAGAATGGGTCCCTGTCACTCGGAGTAATGTCTTTGAGAAAGTCCTAAGGGACTTATAACCCAGAGCGGAAGCAAGAAACCAACCCTCAAGGCTGAAAAGCATATTGATTTAGAGACATTTTCCCACAGGGAAAGGCATAGGCAGGGTAACAAAGTCAGTGAAAACCAAAACTGACCTCTACTTCCGGCCTCAAAGACCTGAGATAGCTCTTGAGATCCCCCCGCGTCATCAGCTCCATGATGACCAGTGTGGGCTGGCCCTGGGACACCACGCCTAGCAGTCGCACCTGGGAGAAGACAAAAAGAGAGGCGCTTAGCTGGAGGGAGCCACCTGCGTGATCCATGACTGTCTTTGCAGTGCTGGGCCTCCACCCCGGGCCTGCAGGTAACGAGGGTAACTAGGCAGAGGACAAGGTGTCACACCACAAGGGTGGCCACGGACACATCTGTGGAACTCTGGGGTTCCTTTCTGTCTGGTTGGATCTTGGTTCCTTGGGCCTTTCTCTTACCACATGATGACAGTTGAACTCCTTCATCACAGAGGCCTCATTGAGAAACTCGATCCTTTCACGCATGCTTGCGGCCTCGTTCACTGTCTTGATGGCTACCCGGGTCTCAGGCTCGTCTTTCACCACACCTTTAGCCACTCCTTCGTAGACCATCCCAAAGGAGCCTTGCCCCAGCTCCCGGCTCATGGTGATCTTCTCTCGCGCTACCTCCCACTCATCAGGAACGTACACTAGGAGAGAAGAGAGATCAGGGTTGTGACAGGGGTAGGGAGACAGCCTGGAGCTTCTGGGGGACCTTGCACCTGAAGGATACAAGGTGCCATGGTGGGGGTCAGGGGACAAAGTCAGGGCTTGCCCCAAAGTGTCCCCATGGGGACACTTTATGGAAGACTGGATCCGTCAAGTACAGGTGTCCCACACTCCAGGGATTCCAAGATAATTTGTAGGTACCAGCAGCATAAAAAAAAAAAAAAAAAAAAAAGAGGGAAGAAAATAAACCCAGGCTAGGTCAGAAAACTGTGATTCCTCTTACTTTTTTTCATCCATTTTTTAAAAGCAAATTGATTAGAGGAGATAGAAAAACCAAACGAGATGGTCAAATAGAGTTCTAGGTTTGGATTCTGCTCATCTTTATCAGTGGGTTAAACTGCCAATCAGAAAAAGAGTAGCAGGAGGAGTTTGCATCAGACTGGTGAGCGGTCAGACAGTGTGACAGGTGGTAATGCCCAGGTCGTTGGTGAATGATCTTGTACACAGACCTGTGCTACTTAACGGGGCAGCTCATCCTTAAGCAGGGGTGCTGAGCCCCTGAACATGGCTAGGTCAGCTGAGATGTGTTCTAAGTAAAAAATACCCACAGGACTTCAAAGACCCAATAAAAATATCTTTGTCCAGTAAGTTTTTACACTTATTCCATATTTAAAAAGACAACATTTTTGGATATACTGGGCTAAACAGCTCACTAGACCGCTAATGAGACAGAGAAGTGAATAAGCTCTGGTACTGAGGGGGACTTGGAAATGACTGAGGGACCTTGGTCTAGACTGTGGTCTCAGGCTTGGCTCTTGGACGCACAGCAAAGGCCTGGGGCTAATCATGGTAAATACGGAGCCTGAGCATGATTTCTGCTTCAGCTTCTATTTCTGGTTAGATCTGATCTGGCAAGAGAAAATAAGTAATTCTAGATAAGAAGGATGGAAGGAGAGAGGAAAGGGAAGAGGAAGAATGAAAGAAGGCAAAACCAGGGGCTCCAGCTCAAGCCCACAGCCCTAAGGGTGACCATGAAAATCCTTCGTATCCACAGCTCTGCAGGAAGTTTCAATTCGGACCATGCCCTCCTTGCGCCGTGTGCTAAAGCGGTCCTGCCAAGGGCCAGGTCAGCACACGCTGGCTGGCAGGATGCAGCAGCTGGTCCTGGCCTGGAACCGGAGGCCCAGGAAGTGGGGAGCCCTCCTGTGTCTGATGCCCGCTTTCAGAGTTGCCCATGGGCCTGTGCCTGGTCCGAGACACTGCTGTGTGCCGCTCTCCCCATCTCCGGTGCCTACCTCTAAGTGATGTCCTAAAGAAAAGACGCTTTACACAAACCAGTCTAGGAGGCATCACCAGTTCGTACCTCAGGAGTATCCAGTGTGGCTGACACTGAGCTTGAATTTTCTCTGCTACACATTTTTGCTATTTCATTGCATTTATGGGCAGATGGAACTCTGCCTCTGGAGGGATCGGGCAGTTTGCAGCCCTGAAGAGAAGGCTGAAGCGTGCTGAGGAGCCAGAAAATACAGCTCCTCACAATACCCCTTAGCAAGTATAAAGAGCCACTGGGTCCATCTATCTCTGAGGACCCAGCTGGCTCTTAATCAGAATTAACTGCACTGTGCGCTGCAGAACACACAGTTAAAAGCAACCGCATCCATTCTGTGGGAGGTCCGTGAAGTCCAATACCCTCAATCATTTTCTCTAAATCCAACCCAACAACTCTGACGTAACCAGCAAATAGGCTCTACCAGCAATGGATGGTAGGGAGACTGCACAATGTTATCAGCACTTTCCTGGAGGGGATTTGCAGTATACTCTTCAGAGCAGTGACATGAGATTAGCTTTGGGACAGGGAAGGTTTTAAGCACCTTTGAACTGCAATGCCATTTTGTTGCCTTTTCCAGAAAGTGACAGTGTGGTACTCGTCACAAAGCCCCATCCATTAAGTTCAAATGAGGTGACTGTTCCCACCTGTTGGCCTGGGTCACAAGTTTGCTTGTTTTGTTCTTAGAAGAACTGGGACGCATTAGGAAGTGTTCTGGAAGGAGACAGGCTGTGAATTCAAGCCACCACAGGAGTCTGATTTGACTCTGTTCATGCTCTCTGGAAGCCTCCTGGCCACTTCACAGTCAACACCACACCTTATCAACCTTTGCTTCTTTATTTCAAGGTAGAGTAGATTATCTTGCAAAGTCAGACCCCTCTCACACAGTGGAACTCGCCTGTGTTGCCTCTATCAATTCTACTGTCTGGGAGGACCCCTGCACCTTACCTCCTATTCAGGAGCCTGAGAAGCTATTCAGGAGGCAAGAGAACCACTTGAGCCCAGGGTCTGCAGGCCAGCTTTGGCAACACAGCCAGACTCTGTCAAAAAAGCTATTATTTATACAAGCAATATACCCATCTTCTTGCTGGTTTTTTTGTTTTGTTTGGCAATGTTAGAGACTGAACCCAGGGTATTATGCCTGCCAGACAAGTGCTGTACCACTCCTGGCATTGTCTTTCATTTTTGTTTCTTTCTAAATAGAAACTTCCATTAAAATCACTATTACAAGTATGTGGTGCATTCTTCCAGAATGTTCTCTATGCAGTACAGACACATATACATGCTCTCAGATATATATGTGGCTGCTAAAAAGACAAGTTCTGAGACCTTCCTGTAAACAGGCATGAGAATCCTTATTATTCTGCACCTGATTCCCATTCAGAAGAGGCTGGTTTTGATCAGCTTTACTATAAACATAATTCAATTAGAAATGATTAAAGAAACCATAGTAAAGCTATATACATGTACACAGTGCTTTCAAGTTACCAAAATACTTTCCTATGTTTTCTCATTTGATCTGGATAACCAACGAGAAACAATCAGGGCTCTGTTGCATCTCCCTTCTCTTCTCCTGAGTAAGAAGGCAGTGAAGGCTTTTCCCAGGCACTTTCCCCCAGCACACTTGTGCATCCATTTGACAATTCAGCTCTGGCTTGTGCACCAGCTTCCCTGCCAGTCCAAGGACCTCGCAGCCCCCTTCTGACCAGACTGCATCATCTGGTCAATCAGACACAGCAGGAAGGACGGGGTGGTCCTCTTCCCTGACATGCCGCTGCCTTGCCGTGTGACCCTGGCCTGTCTGTGGATCAGCTTAAGGAAACCAAATCACTTGCAGGGTGATGGCTTCTAACAAAGTGCTCACTAAGGGGCTTCGTATGGAGGGACCCAATGACCACTCCTCCCAGCTCAACTTCCTGAAAATGTTTGGAATGAAGTTCGCAGGCCAGAGGGAAAAAACGGAGATAAACACCGAGTACAACCCGGCTTCCATGTCAGCTTCCAGCCATTTAAGTAACTGACCCTCATTACTTACCACCGAAGGGAATGTGAAGAAGGGAATGAATCTTATGACCCTATCCAGGCGAGAATGACAGAAGAATTCCAAGATAATACAAAGCAGAGTAGCCATAAATAGCCCGCGGGGATGGGGTGCTGTGACCCTCATGCGGAAACCATGCAGAGGGCTGCGGCAGCACAGCTCTGACTGGACGTTTGCATTGAGAACTCTTCTTGTATTCTGGCGTAGGACTCCAGACAATTAAATAAACTGATTGCTGTGCTGGCCACACTCATCTCTGAAGCCTGGTTTTCTTTGGGGCATCCCATACAGTCCCAGAACTTTTGAAAAATTCACTGTACTGCTAAACATTTGGATTTAAAACAAAACAAAACAAAACCAAAACCCAAAACGTAGGAAATGTTTTCAGATGGGTTCCAGACTGAAGGTACCACATGGTACCGCAGAAGACAGCCCTGGAGGCTCCAGGGAACAACCCACCCACCCGCTTGCCAGGAGCCTTACCATCCGCAGCACTGAAGTACTCCGGGTTCACAGAGGCGTACAACACTCCATTCCCCAGCCTGCTGCTGTTTCTGCCAAAAAAGATGAGATCAGGTTGAAAACCCCTGTCCATACACACTTCTGGACAGGCTCTCACCGGTGCTACATCTGTTTTATTTGATGTTTCACGAATGTCCTAAAGATACCTGCAGACAGGGCTTACTGCTCTGGGAGCTCTCCCTTGAACTCCTGAGTCAGGCCTGGGTGGGCCAGCAGACATTTCAGGATGTGTTTTTGGCTTCTTTGGTGGCCTCAGATTAGAGCTTTTAAAGAAACATTTGTTTCTTTGCTTCATTGGAAATAACAAAGCTTATTTGATCAGGAGGGTTAAACCGGCAGGCTTGCGAAAGCTCTGTCTGAGCCAGAAGCATCTGCGCCTGAACAGCTAGCAAGGGGAAGCTATAAGAAGAGGATTTCTGTTGTTGTTACATCATTAGAAAATGTTCCCTTTTCCTGAGAAGAATGTTAGGCTAGAGAATCATGTTTTCCAGTTGGCACCCTATTTCCTCAAAAGACGACCTCCACTTGGGTTCAGATCACCAAATCACCAGGCCACGAAGACAGTGAGAGCTCGGCTCCAGTGCTCACCTCTTCCTATGGAAGACGTACAGCATTATCGCCAAGCCTGCCACAATCAACAGGATGGCGACTGGCAGAGCGATGATCAGATGGATGAAGTTTTCATACGTTGCTGCAGAAACAAGGAGGAAACGATACAGTGTCACTAGGCGAACAATCTGCTCATCTCATCTTTTTATATTCATTGGGAAGTATGAAAAAAAAAAACAAAACCAAACCCGAAAACTCTTTTTACCCTGCACTGGGAATTCTTGAGCGTAAATGGCATCAGAAATAATAAATACAGCAAATAAGGTGAATTATAGGCAAAAAGGTTAAGTAAGTACAGAGTGAGGTTGCTCCGGTATAGAGTGCAGTTTGGTATAATAAGCTCAACTGATGGACTGAAGGAAAATCATCTTTAAATGCAGTTTGATCACTCGGAACGGGACACACACTTGCCGAAATAAAATGACAAGAGATTCACACATATACAAGGCCATGTCACTCTTACCTGCTTTTCTGTTTCAGAGATAATTTTAAAGGAGCACCCCGCCCCCCACTAGATGGCACCCCATGTCAGCGTGCCTCTGTGTCTGCCACAGGTGAGGCTGGTTAAAGCAGGAGATCACAGAACTCGCCAAGGCACTTGTCACCAGCACTCATGTGACACATGACTGGGCACTGGCCATTCAGGTCTGCTCCCCTGAAAACTGCTGCACGTGGAAAATCAGTGCCTTACAAGGTGGAGGACACCAGAGCCACACGGGGCAGGGTGCAGAGAGGGGAGGAAGAGCATGCAGCAGACGCAAGGGATGACACTCCCAAAGGCAAAGTTCCCTTTGCTCCAGTACTGAAGGAGAAACGCTCTTTCTGGGTAAACAGCCTTCCGAATAGAGGGACAGCTTAGATCTCTAAGCCTGGCTGATCCTGGAAAGAAGTCAGGGATGGCTGACAAGGGGCCTTATCCAAGCTAAGAGGTTTCAGCTCCATTCTGTAGATTCAAAGGAGCCTGGGAAAGCTTTCAAAGCTTAATGAACTGGTCAAATTGGTGCCCAGGGGAAATGGCTGTGCCAAAAGACAGACTGGGGATGCTGGCCACTGCCACGTCAAGAGAGCTGAAGGGCACACACCTCCCTGGGTCCAGTCTGTGTTACCGAATGCAGACTTCAGGAAGAAACCACTGCTCCTGTTCTATAAGCAAGCAAGATCACAGCGACAATCTGGTTTTTCCAAGGCCCCCAAGGAGCTGGTAAGTCAAGGTCCTAAAATGAAAGGCTGGCCTTTCTGCACCTGGAGGTCATAATAATCCCATGACACAAGCAACCTGCAAGTTCTGAGCTGTGGCAGTGGCAGTGGCAATGGAGAAGTTGGAATCCGGAGATATTTAAGAAGCAGAATCCATAAGACTTGGGTTGAAATGAAAAATGAGTGTCTGGAGAGGAGGAAGAGCAAAGCTTCGCTAGGAGACTCCTCACACAGGTGGCCAGGGATTACGGTCCCTGAGCTAAGGAACCTCCAAAGGATGGAGGAGGCATCTGGAGTTTGGGTTTCTGAACCCATTAGGTTCCTACCTACCTGAAAATGTACTGAGAACTTGGAACTCACTGAGGACCCAGTTACATGGATCCTAAGACACTTGTCACTGATCATGCTGCCACTAAAACTACCATTCTCTGTATTCTTCAGAGACTATTAAAACTGCTTTAATTTCTAAAATTAAAGATATTTTTATCAAATTAAATATATTTTATCTTCTAAAACCAATGCAGGCTCTAGTACCCTCCAATTCCTGAAAATACAAGGCAATTGGAAGCGAGCAGGCTTTTCTTTTTCCCCCCTGAGGACTATTTCTTATATTTGTATCACTTATACTACTGGTCAGGTTGTACTGTGTTCTTTTTGAGTTTCACATTTCAACAGGAACACAGAGAAACTGGAACACATCCAGAGAAGAAGAACAAAATGATTCAACAGCTAGAAAATTGGTCTATGCGACTGGGCTGCAAGAAAAGGCCAAAAGACCTTAGAATATTTAATCTGCAAAAGAGAAGTCTGAAGGGTAATTTAATAGTATTCAGGAACACGAAAGGCTCCTGAAAGCAGGTGCCAGAGAGCTTCCAGAGCTTGCATCTCCTCTGAGGATTAAACAGCAGGAAGTGAGACTGAACTGCAGCGGAAGTCTTGTCTGACATAAGGAAAAGCTTCCAGCAGCAAAGCCAGTGTGCAGTTTCAATTTCCCTGGGGCTGATGCCAACTTCTGCGGGAGAAGTTCTACAGGAGATGCTTGGATTCCCCAGGGCACCCGTGCACTCACAGGGTTACGAATGGGACTCAAAGGCAGATGGACATGTCCTCTCCCAAGACAAGCCAAGTTCACTAAGCCCCAGAAGCCAAGGGTGCTCTTTTACAGGCCAGAGCCTGACACTGGACCCCCAGACCCACGTTCTACTGGAGACCATGGGAGCAGGCTCAGGGGAGACAGAGGAAGACACTGCTCTGTCAGGGTTGTATCATGCGTGTTCTCGGGGTGGAAGGTGGCGAAAACCACTGTGGTTTGAGTAAGCATCCCTAAAGGCCCGTGCTGTGAAGGCTTGGACCCCAGCCTGTGGCACTATTGGGAGTGAGGTCTAGCAGGAGGAAATTAGATGGGGGGCCAGGACCTTCAAAGGGATCTTGGGGCCCTGGCCCCTCTTTGTCTATTTCCTGGCCACTGTTAAGGTCAGCAGCTTTGCTCCTTCCATACTCCTTGCTGCAAGGTTCAGCCTCATCATGGGCCCAAAAGCATCAAACCAACCAACTATGGACAGAAACCTCTGAAGCAGTGAGCCAAAACAAACCTCTCTTCCTCTGAGTTTTGATTTGCCACAGGTATTTTCTCATAGTAACAGAAAGCTAACACATCAGCTAACAGGTAAGACGAGGTTAGGTGGATGAAATGAGAGAATGCAAATTATTTCAATTGACAAAATGATCTGCTAAGCATCTTACTTCCCCTAAAGGCTGAACTCAGGCACAGAGCGGTGCCAGGGGCACACAAGGGTAGCTCATGGTGTGCAATGCTATTCTGTGGCATCTTTTTACTATCTGTCCTTATAGGAATTTTCAGGTATCATGCATAACTCTGAACATTTGGTACTGAATAGATGGACCAGCGGTGTTCTTGTTCCTTAAGGAATTTTAACTGACATGCAAAATTATGTATTGTTGATTGTGCACAACATATTTTGAACTATATATAACTAAGCTAATTAGCATACATGTCACCTCACAATCAATCACCCCCTTATCAATCTTTTGTGTTAGGAACATCTAAAATCTACCTCAATAATATTCAAGAATATAATGTTACCCGTAACCATGGTACTGATAAGATTGTACAACTGATCCTTTGAATTTCTTCTTCCTGTGCCAACATTGCTGCAAAATCAGACTCTTTCAACTTGTAGTGACATTCTACTCTCTACATATATGAGCTCAATGTTTTAGATTCCAATTACAATGAGACCATGCAGTAATTATCCGTCTGTGCCTGGTTGATTGCACACAACGTTCCTCATGCTTGTTTGTGTCACCCTCTTTCCCATAGACGAAAAGCATTCGGTTGCGTATATGTACCATTTTTTTAAAAACCTCATTCGTCTGTAGCATTGGGAGTGCCGTAGTGAACACAAGAGTGTGGGCATCTCTAAGGAAGTGAGTTCATGCTCTTGCGTACGTATCCAAGAGTGGCTCTACTGGGCCTGGCAAGCCCTTGTTGTAAATCAGACTCCAATGCAGAGAAGCAGAGATGCAGGTGCTGGGAAGGAACAGCCCCGAAAGTGCTACCATTAACCAAGGCTGGGCTCCCATATTTTCCCCCAATACTGGGGATTGAATCAAGACCTTGCACCTGTGGCTACTCTACTGGTAAGCTATATCCCCTACTGTCTTTTTCTTTTCAACATGGATTACCCAGGTTGGCCTTGAACTTATGATCTTCCTGTCTCTGCTTCCCAAGCGATTAGGATTACAGGCATATGCCATCATGCCTGGCTGGGTTGCTATTTTCTTTTTTTGAGATAGGGCCTTCCTATGTAGTCCAGTTCAGGCTGGACTTGAACTCATTATGGAGCCTAGGCTGGTGATCCTCTTGCCTCAGCCTCTAGAGTGCTAGGATTACAGATATGCACCACCACACTAGCTCTGAGATGGGACTATTAACAAGTAGTGAGAATGCTTTTATCCTAAATTTGATCCCACTATATGAACACAAAGTAATCTGAAATACTACCTTTCTTAATTTCTATTAAGAAATTTTAAAAACTCAGTTGGGATATAATTTCATCAAACAAAAGACTAAATTTTCTTTGTTAAATAACAAGCATTATATATGGTCCTCCTCATGCTCAGCTATTTTACAAAACTTGATTTTAAAACCAGACAGTAATCCCAGCACCCTGGGAGTCTGAAGCAAGAGGAATCCAAATGTGAAGCCACCCTGCGCAATTCAATGAGACTCTGCCTGAACAACAGAAAGCTGAGGATGTAGCTCAGTGCTAAGGCCTCGCGTTCAATCTCTAGTACAAACAAAACTAAACCCAACCACACAAACTGAAATCATCATATAAAATAACCCTCAAAGAATTCGGTTTCGTAGATGGTTTGAGCAAACTTTGTAACATCGCCCAGTCTCTGCCTCAGGTGGTGAGCTCTGTGTCTTTTGATGCGTGCTGCTGGATGCACGCTGATGCTTAAACATCAGCTGTGTTTTACCAAAGGGAAGCAAGATTGCCTACATGTTGGCTGCTGTCCTGAGATTCCTACTGGGGAGCAGTGGGACCAGAGGATTCATCCTAGGATTCCAAGCCTTGAATATGAACCCTGAAGAGCTCACTGCCCAGGTAGGAGACAGGATGATCAATTCAATGCTTGCAGAACAGCTCTGAACACAGGCCAGGGTGAAAGCAAAGATCTCTTCTGGCTCTCAGGGTTGTATGCCCACATAAAGGGCTATGACTGTCTAACCTGTTGTATGTGGTAAGGACCAAGAGTCAGCCCTTTCCCAGGCTGAGCTCCCAGTCAAGGTATTGGCTCCTCAGTGTGACCCTTCTGAAAGCAGGCCAACTCAGTCTGAAAAGAAGATCAGAGAGCCTCAGCTATCCAGGCTTCCCAACTCTGGACCCGACCCGGTATCAGCTTTATCATGCCACTCCTTTGACAAGTCTTACTTTTGGCTGGGACATAGAAAAACACAGGATCTGTCCACGACCCATTCCCAGAGAGCGAGGTAGCTTGAATCCGGGCTGTATAGTTCCCTGGGTTTAGCCGGCTAAGCTTGGCCCCTCCGTATTTCCTGTATTCCTGTCTGGACACACATTCTCGCTGATCCTGAGAGAAATAAAACATGCATGTCAATTTCCTACAGACATGGGAGATGCCTGGCACCCAACCTTGTCATGGCAGCTCATGACACTGGTGACACCTGGTACCCATCCTTGGGCCACACCAAGAATGATCCCAGTTGGCAAAAAAAAAGGGCAAGAAAATTAATCCTCTAAGGTAGTCTTGAGTCACTTTAAGCACACTCAAAATTTGTAATCATTTTTATGACCAAAAAAACTGCAGAAGAGTTAGAAGTCCTAAGGCTGCTGTGGCTTGTGTGGGGAGGTCACACTCTGCAACGCATCACTTAGAAGGGTAAGAAGCTGCCAGCTCCCTGTAGGCTCCAGAGCGTTGCTCAGCGATTATGGTGCTGCTTGGTTCCCACTCACTCACTGCCTCATTGTTGGAGGCTAAACTAACCTGGAGGTAACTGTGTCATACCATGCCACACGATGGGATATGACTCTAATGGCTATGTGTGCAGCCATGGACCACATCCCCAGCCGTACCTCAACTTGTGATCCGTATTTTATTTCGTACATTAGAATCAATCCATTAGGATTCTCAGGCTCTGGCCACTTTAAAAAGATGGAGTTTTCAGGCCTTGCTTCCCACGTCACCGGGCCAGGAATGTCATCTGCTCCTTCTGTTAAGCAATTTTCAAAAGTGACAAAGTTGGATTCAGGTCCTCAGGCAGGAAGACAAATGCTAGGCTAAGCTGAGAATAACCCTCCCCTAAATGCATGCCTACTGGACTGTGCGCAGTGACCACAGGGGCCCTCTTGAGATGGACCCACCCACTGACTCTCGTATGTGAATATATCACAGTATCCGCTCTTCCACCTGGCCCCTACCAGGAAGGCCTGTGAGCAAGCACAACAGGAAATTCCTGGCATCCTAAGTATCTATCTTCTTCTAAACCGCTTCTACTACTTGCAGAAAGAACCTGTTTAACACTGCAGCACTGAACTGGGGTGCCAACCAAAATGCAGCAGTACACAGGAGCTCCAGGCTGTGACATGGATCCTCTGCAGTCTACACAAAGCAAATGCAAGTCCTATGCGAGTATAAGGGATGGACAAAGAGGAGCCTGCGAGCAAGCTGCTGCAGCCAGTGAGCTCTCTCTCCTCTGGTCACAGCTCCTCCCAGAGCTGGTCGTGAGAATATTGTGGCTTAGGTCTAGACTGTCCCTGAACTCTCATGCCCTCAGGGTGGGCTTTCGGAAGGTGACCAGATCATGGGGACGCTACACTCCTCAGTGCAGTCATCCATTAATGAGCTGAGCAGCTAAGGACACTTTTGGGAGGTGGCGTCTGGTTCAAGGCAGGTCATTAGGGGCATGACCTGCATGGGTGGGCCTCCTCTCTCAGCAACCTCTTTTTCTGTCTGTTTCCTGACCCCCGTGATGTGAGCGGCTTTCCTCTGGGCAAGCCCTTTCACCATGCCATTTCTAGATTTGAATCTGCCCACCACAGGCTGACGTTTCTAAAACTGTGGCCAAAATAAATTTCTCCTCTAAGTTGTGGGTGCTGAGTACTGTGTGTCAGCAGGAAGAAAGGGACTGAGACAGGGGGTCACTTGAATGAAAGCAGTTACAATCGTCTGGCTCTGAAGTGCCACCCAAAGGCCTGGTCCCCAGCATGTAGTGGAACCACTGGGTGGCAGGGCCTAGAGGAAGGATATTAGGTCACAGGGGTGCCCTTGAGAGGCATGTTGAAAATCCAGCCCCTTTCTCTCTTCTTCTTTTTTTGGTCTCTGTGAGGTGAGCAGATTCCCCTTATACAAATTCTTATGATGTACAGCTGTGCCACCATAAACCCAAAGCAAGTGGGCCAAGTGATCACCAGCTGAAATCTCTGGAACCATGAGCTAAAATAAACCTTTTCTCCATCTAAGTTCTTTATATCAGTGTTTTGTCACAATGACTACAAGCTCACTCGCATTGCAGGTAACTGGAGACAATAACGAATCTGCTCAAGAAGGAGCAGATTAATTTACCTGTGCATAAAGGGAACAAAGGCTGAAATGCATATTGGAAACCATGTATGGAGCTCCATGACGGCAACATGGGCTCTGCTCCCCAGCTGGCTGGTCTATCACGCTGCCTCTCAATGATCGCACACTCCTCAGTAAGCCTGAGTCTAAGACTTTCAATCGAGGTGCCAAGGCTGGCTGGATCCCACCATACCTGCGGGCATGGTTCTTGCAAAAACAAAGTTAGAAGCGCTGCAGCCCAGCTTCTCAGCCTCATGGTTACAGCTGTGGATGTCAATGCGGTACAAGGTAAAAGGCCGGAGGTTTGAAATTACAGTTCTTTCCTTGTTATCCACTCTGCTCTCAAAGAAAGGGTATTCGGTCTCTAGCTCCTCTGGATCTGTGGCATTGTAGGTATCAGCCACCGTGGTGTTCCTGCTGCGGCTGGACATGGTGGTGTTGGCCATCTGCGCAACATCTCGCCGCCTCCTTTCAGGCCTGCAAGGCACAAAGAAGCTTGTAAGGGCTGCTGCCTCTTTTGCACTCTCTTTGACCAGGGTAAGAGTCACAGGAAAGACAAGTCTTCATCTTGGACAAGCACCACGAAAAGGCAGGAGGGATTTCCTTTTTCAGTGTTGACTCTGCTCTATCCACTGTACACCCTGAGAACCGGCGTGTGCACTCTGGCCCCAGCTCCCGCAGGGATTACTTGATTACACATACAAGCGAACAATTTCTCAGTGGCTTCCGGCAGACTCCTGCTTCATCAAGAGCGAGTGCCATCTTGTTGGGAAGCTCATGGTAAGCATCAAAGGGTTCACACCTATTCACCACACATTAAGATTTACTGTAGAGGGTGTTGCTCAGGCCCCAGCAAGAAGGGACAGAAGCAATGCAGAGGCCCACAGTGGTGACATACAGGATTCTTTCTGAAATAAAATGAAGGGGCAAGCATGTGCCTGTACCCCACAGTACCACTGTGGGGGCTCCTGCTGATGGACACCCCTTCTTTACCCCAAGCCTGCAGCGTGTGCCATACTTTTGCAGGGCTCACAAGCCTGGCTGCCTGCTGCTCAGCACTGGCCACCTGAGGTTTCAAAAAACAAAATCCTGCCTACGAGAGGGGAGGACTGTTTCGTGGATTTGAATCAGCTTTGAACAACAGCTACAAGAACAATAACAAGAGACAAGCAAAAGGGAACACACGAAATCCCAAGAGAAGGACACTACCACCCCAACAGGCAGAAGAGGGTGGGACCTTCCAACTGCTGATTTGAAAAACTGGGGTTTTAGCATCCTCCAGGCATCTTGTTTCGACTTACATGAACCAAGAAAAATCAAAAATTTCAGAGAAGTATCCAGACAGGACCAGCAGCCCTCAGGTCATGAAAGAGTCTGAGAGAGGGGCGTGGAGAGAAGACCAAGAGGAGGAAGGAGAGGAGGAGGAGGAGGGTGCTGAGGCCATGGGCTGGCGACAGGATCTTCTGAATGAGCAAAGTGCCAGGAACAAATGCGATGAACCTCACCTGGTAAGAAAACCAGGTCCAAGGAGACGAGGAGGCCAGAACAGGGGAAATGCAGCAGCTCCCACACAGAACAGTGCAACAGTGGGAGCCAACGCTCTGGATGCCTCCCGGGAGCCCTGTGAAGGCTTCTTGCTGGCCCCTAGGTCAAGACGTGGAGGGGAAAGGTAGGGGCAGGGAAAAGGGCCACTGGTTCCCGATTTGCTTGGCTTGTGGATCTTCCTGCAGATCACAAGGCCTTTCTTTGTGTAGTGACACTCAGGCCCCACCGAAGGCAGAAGCCACACCACGCTGAGAAAGTCATTCCAAAAGGTAGAGAAAGGAGGTCAGGGGAGGTGCACTGTTTTTCACAAGGCCAGGGAAGGAGGGTTAAGAAATGAGGGCAGAAATCTACCATCCTCTCACATCATGCAAGCCAACCAAACCACAAACTACCTTCCTGGAAGGAAAGAACACACTTATTACTACAGAAATCATTTTCAACACATTACCAAAAAACTTCCTGCCTTCCCTTCAAAACAAACACAAGAGACACTTGCAATCATGAGTAACACATTGCTTAGGTTTGATCCACAGCAAAATAATGCAGTGTCTACTCCTGCCCTAGCTTAGCACCACTGGGCTGGGATTAGATCAACCACTAAGCACACTCAACAGCTCACTTATCTGTAACCACCACACCTTTGCACACTGCATGGCTGCTACCACCAAGTCAGGGGTCAGGAGACAGAAACAACAACAAAATGTCAGCAGGAAGACAAGGGGAAGTGGAGGCAGAATGCCCAGGTGTAATTCTTATATTCCTAATGGTGTCACCAAAGGCAAACAAGATGGCCAACCTCCCTCCTCTTTGCAACACAACCTGTTTCTATGGGAAAAACTTTTACTTCTCAACATCTGGAGCATTTTAGCTACAAAAAGCAAATGACTGATCTGAAAAAGATGAGGGCCCGTGAAATGCACTTTGTACCACATATGGACTTTAGGAAGCATCTTTACTAGCTCCAATCTATTTCAGACACACAGGATGCTGGGCCACGTAGAAGGAAGGAAATCTGACACACTGGTTTCTACCTTCAAGTAAACTGTTTCTAGAATGAACTGCATGAAACTGAAGTAGTTTTTGGACAGCTTAGCTGTAAAATTAAAAAAAAAAAAAAACAGCTTTCATGATTCAGTCAGATGCTCATTTCTGTGAACTTGTCAGAACTGGTACGGACATCAGATTCAGGCCTTAGTAGGAAGCCAACAAGGAACAGTTACGTTCTTACTAAATTCTGTCCTCTCATCATAGACAAAATATGGTATCTGTGTTCATACCACAAAGAGTGAGTTTCCGAAATGAACTGTTTTAAGAGAGAGGAAGTCAGACTGTGGGTTTAGATGTTCACATTAGTCATTTGGGATGTGCAGACAAAAAGCTTATTTTGACCCCAAGAACAGAAACACTGCGAGTTAGTAACGCTGATGTAACCACATCACTTCAGCTGGTGTTTCACATCTGATGGCAATAAAGGTTTCGTCTTGTGACTACAACTGAAAATGAGGGAACTTTTAGTAAAGTTTTTTTGTTATGTTTCTGGCCCCAAAGGCTCCTGTGTCAGAAGCTCAGTCCCCAGGGTGGCAGTGTTAAGAGGTGGGGGAACTTCAGGAGGCGGGGCCTACTTGGAGATAATTAGGTAACTGAGGATGAATGCTAGACTCCAGGAGAAAGTGAGCCATTCTCCTGAGAGTGGGTTCTTATGAAAGACCAAGGCAGGCTCCTGAGTCTTGCCTGCCTGGGTTCTCTCCTCCTAAAAGCTCTCACCATCGTTCTCTACCTGTCATCCAGTCCAGGGGCCCTTACAGGGCAGAGCAGAGGATGGCCCCATGCTCTTCAACTTTCAAAGCTATGGGTTTTACACATTGCCTAATCTCAAGTATTTTGTTATAGCAACATAAAATGAACTCATAAACGTTTTCAAATCCTCGACTTACAACCAGAATCTCCAAGGTTGGCTGGACAATGCATCAGTGTAACCAACAGCCTTTGATGGAGAATTAACAGACAACTTCCCACGGCTGGCAGGTATAGCTCAGTGGTACAATGCATGCCCAGCACACATCTGATCCTCAGTACCACAACAAAATGAAAAAAAAGACAGCTTTCCGCTAAGCCTGCAGGGGACAGTCTTTACTTATTCTGTGGCATCAGGAGCTGCCCCTGCTAACCTTCTCGACTGAGGTGGAGCAGACGGCACTCAGTGAAGAAAGTGAAGGAAGAGAGCCCTGGTGTCTGAGAATGTAGCCCGAGACTCAAACAGCATCTAAACTAATGAGGATGGCAGGAAGAACTCCAAATCCCCCTGAATTCTGGTTTTCAAGCATCTTTGCACGCTTTCTGGTCCTTAAACTCTCAGGTTCCAGGAATCACACAAGATAAACAGACACCATGGTACGAAAACCACAGTGCACACTGAAGCTCAATGCTGACACTTGGCCAGCAGTGCTAAGAACTGATCTGCCAGCCAAATGCTGGGCATTATATTTGTAGCTGAGAAATTGTGTGTGTGTGTGTGTGTGTGTGTGTGTGTGTGTGTGTGTGAGTGTGTGTGTGTCATTAAGCAGCAAGCAGTTTCGTTCTCAAAAACAAACAGCCCCTCCAGTTCTAAAAGATCCTTATTTCCCACTTTTCTGATTCTTCAAAGTAAGACTGGCTATCTTTGACCATTTTTGCAAATATAGAAGTCCCTTGACAGGGGAAAAGAAAAATGCTCTAAAATTCATTTGTCATCACAACCTAAGAAAGTCTTTAAGGACGAAGTACTGTAAATATGGAATAAATACTATAAAATTCTGCAGCCTCAAAGAACATGTCAGGTGGAAAATTGGCAGCTGAGCATCGAAGGGACAGGGACAGGGACCTCATGGGAGCAGGGCTGGCCTGATCCCGCTCCTCCATCCAACGCTCAGAAGCAAGGCTGCTGCCAGTTCCGTAATGGGAGTCATGGACCACTCTACACCCAACTCTTCCCCTTATATCATCAGTCTGCTCTGCTGAGGTTTTCTCCAGTTTTTAAACAATCATTTGGTTTGCGATTTTTCTGTTGTTGTGCCAAGATAAAATGTTAAAATAAATAAATCTAAACTCTTGCCATTTTAACTCTGTGTACATGCGGATTGAACGCAGGGCCCCACACTAACCAGGCAAGTGCTCCACCATTGCCCTATACCCTGTCCCTCATAAAATGGTATTCTGAGACAGGGTCTTGCAAAGTTGTCTAGGCTGGCCTCAAACCCGTGATTCTCTTGACTCAGCCTCCTGAGCAGCTGGTTTACAGGTGTGCCATCTCACCTCGCCCATTTTTAAGTGTGCAATTTTGTAGCCTTAACTGCTTTTACAATGTTGTGTAACTCTGTTGTCACTAAACATTTTCATTACACCACACAGAAACTCTACCAGTTAGAAAATAATTTCCTATTTTCCTCCTGACCCTACCCTGCTCCTAGTACACTGTCTTCTACAGGTGTGCCTGTTCTATTTATCCCAGACAGGGCATCCTACAGCCCTGACCCTCGTCTGTGTGGCTTTGTTTCACTTGGCCTGAGTTCTCAGGGCTCACGCGTGCTGTACGTGGGTCTGACTTCGCTCCTTTTCATGGCTGAACACTCTCGCACTGGACAGCTATACCTGCTCTTATTCTCCCACTCATCTGTGCATGGAGCCCGGAGTTGTTTCCAGGTTTTTCCTACAGTGAACACCTCCTTTCCTCCGCTTTTGGTCCTGCTTTGTGGAACGTGAGCCTTGAACACAGAGCGACTCCTTGAGGCAAAGCCCGTTACTCTGGAAGGTTGCCTTGTACGGTGCACCCCAACCTGCTTGTAAAGGCTCCCCCCACCCCCGAAGCTGGACCCCTTTTAAAACTGACTCAGAATTTTCCTTTCTTGTTTCAGTTCCTCTTCACCGGGCCGACAGGGGCAGCTAGGAAGAGTGGAGAGGGCAAAGCCTGGCTTTTCTTTGGCTCATTTCCGTGAGTGCGGGCAAGTGCCTGACGCCCTCTCAGCCTCGTCTTCCCACCTCCGAGGGCACCCAACCTGCTGTCTGCCAGAGCGGGTATGACTGAAACAGAAGCTCCCTTTAGACCTACGGCACCCCAATAAGAGCCTGTCCCTGTCCCTCAGGGCTAACCAGCTACCCTGGGAGCTCTACTCAACCAAGCCGGAATCACCACCTTTTTGTGCTCCTCCTCAGTGGCTCCTGTGTCATGTCCCGCACCACCCAGGGGTGAGAAATGCAATAGAACCCAGCCCAGGAACAACAGTCTTTCAAGTGGTCCCGATACCTCGGCACGAAGATGGAGTTGTGCAGGAAATTCTCAAACACTTTCCGGTACTCGGCCTCCTCCTTCTCGGCCTGCTTCTCGGCTTCGGTTTTGGGGCAAGCGCAGCAAGGCCCTTTCTCGCCACCACATACTTCAGTCTTGGGGTTCTCGGTGACCTCTTCGACATCGATGGTGCCATCCGCATACTTTCTGATGGGGATTTTGTCTTCACAGAAAAGAGACGCAAGAGGAGAATGGGAATGAGAGCCAGGCACAGCACACTCGGAAGGACAAAGGCGAGCTGCCAGCACACTTCATTAAGAAGGCGGCTGGTTTCTAACCCCAGAAACTAGCAGGCGTGACACTAGGGCTCTAGTGCAGTCAGATGCAGCCAGGATGGTCTCCGCCACCGGCCGGCAGCTGTGCGTCCTTACCTTTGGAGCAGTAATTGTGCCGGTATAGGTAGCTGTCCTGAGGCTGCCGCTGCCACCGCACGATATAATAACTCAGGTTTCCGTTGGGCAGAGATGGGGGGTTCCACTTGACGATGAGCTGAGAAGAGGAGTTGGATGCCGAAAGGACATCCAGGGGAATGGAAGGAACTGGAAAGGAGAACAAAGAACATTTCAGAAAATACACGGATTTAAGGTCAAGGCTGTTAATCCATAGGAAGTTGCAAGGATGACCCTGGTAGGAAGACAGCAATAAAAACTGAAATGCAAAGTGAAAACTGAAACTTGCTTTTCAAAGAGTATTGATTCAAATGCCAACATTTCCCTTTATAGCATCTATTCTCGGGTAATCTCTGTGAAAACAAACACAGCCGAGTTGCAAATGGGAAAGGTTCCCAGGGCACAGGCAGGGCTGGAACAGATGACTTAAAATCTACAGTTCATTCAAACACCTGAATTTTCTCTTTTATTACAACTGCCTTTCTCCAACGTGTTTAACGCCAGTGGTTTTACTGAATAGTAAAATTGACTGACTTGGGTTTTACCTGGGATTTTGACTCTGGTAAAAACGATAAGAAGCCGAAGTGGAAGGAGGAGGGAGGGTGAGGCTGGCAGAGCACGGCTGTGCGTGTGCCTGTGTGAAAGAGATCAGAGCAAAGGCGGTGCAGAAGCAGGGAAACCCACCAATCCTATAATCTGCTTCCGCGGATTGACGGAGACGCCACTGCAAAGCAGCCTAAGGATGCAAACATGTGTAAGCCCCGATTTTAAGAAAAAGATTCTGTTACCAGAAAAAAGAATATTGATTTATAGGCAAAGCATTATAATCCAATCAACCCTGACTTACTGCTGACACCCAAACTCAAGTCCAGAGCTGATGTACGCAGAGAGGAAAAATGCATCCCGGGACCAATGAAATTGTGTTCTCATTGAATTCATAAAAAAAGCACCGATTTGGACAGTTTTTCCCAAGGACAAGAGGCACCTTCGAAGTATGCACTGAATCAAGAACAGGTTCACCCAAGCCGTTTTTAAAACGTGAAAGGGATAAACACTAGAGGATACAGAACACAGGGATCTGAGCATGTCTAAGACATATACTTTGGGAAAAGTTATAACTAATGCTAGCTTTTCCAGAAAAAATATAACCACTTGATCCTTGGTCGATTTACAGTTTCCAAAAATAAGTACTTCAAAAATAAACAGCTTATTCCTGGATATTTCAATGATAGGTGTCACAAAAAAAAAATAGAGGCACAAGAACAAGTTATTATCTGTCCCTACGACTTGTAAGGACAGGGCCAAAATGCAAGGAGCTGATTCATTCTGTATAGGGATTGGTTTTCTATCTTTTGGGGAAACCAAAGAGGTTTTTAAAATAATTTTCTGTGGTAAGGAGAAATTCCTATTTTTCTCCAATTTGAAACAGTAATTGCTGGGCTATCTGGAGGTGACGGCTGCTCTGGGGACTACTGTCTTGTTCCGAGTTCTCTTCCTCTCCCTATCTGTCTGCAGGAGTTGAACAGCTCTGCTCTACCCTCTCCACCGTGACAGTCTGCCTTACTCCAGACCCAGAAACAATGAAAGCAAAGGGACCATGGACTAAACTTCTAAAACTGTGAGTCAAAATAAATCTTTTGTATTCTAAAATTGTTTTCCTCAGGTATTCTGTCAGAGCAGTGGAAAGCTAAGACACCACCCAGGCACCCTGGAAGGTTTAGGCTCACAGGCACAGAAGAGAGAGACAGATGATAAAAGATGGCAGGAAGTCCAAAATCTGACACAGGAGAACCTGAGGTACTAGCAGGGAAGGAGGGGAGGACTATATGCCCCAGGTGTGGTGGTACACATCTATAATCCCAGAATCCTGGGAGGCTGAGGAAGAAACAGGGTAAGTTTGAGCCCAGGCTGGGCAACAGTGCAAGACCATGTCTCAAAATAATTAGAGGCTAGGGATGGGTTTGATCTCCCGTACCACAAAATGAAAACAATACAGCATTATGCACCCATGAGAAAGCCCCAACACACATATCTTATTACAACTACACTTTTGTGTATACAAGTACAGTGGGCTCATAAAGGAGCAGGGGTGGGCAGGGGCTCGTCTGGTACGTGGATACCTGAAGCATTGGTGCGAATGTACAAGATTTCACTCTTGGCCCCACGGATGTGGTCGTTCTCTACCATGGTGAGGGTCACGGCCTTGACATAGACCGCGTACTGTGTCCAGGGCTTCAGCCCATGCAGTAGGATGCCAGGCTCCGCGTCCTTGTTAGGAGGCAGGTCCACGTCCACCATGTTCCAACTGTTGGAGCCACAAGCATCCTGCCCATCATACTCGGTGACATTTTTAAACGGTCTGAAAGACAACCAAGTGTAGAGAATATTTTGGGGCTCTGACACCAAAGCTCTTAGGAACCTTCTTCCCTACAGGCGAACCACATCACACTCTCTATAGTGGGAATTTCAGGAAAACGAATAATCAATTATAACAGTATCAAGCAACTGGACTCGGGCTCACCAGTCACACAGTACAGGAATGAATACCCTGCCTCCAGAAGAGCAAGTTACCAGGACTGAAAATACTGCCCCTTGAGAATGCAAATGCTATTTTTGTCTCTCCTTATCTGCAGCAATGATTTTTACTTTCAGTAAAAAGAAGCAAAATCCTTTAATATAGATATCAGATTTAGTAAAGGATAGCTTTTAGAGAAAACTGACTTTTCTGCAGAAAAAAAGGAGTAACTTCTAAAATCTAAGTTGTTCACAGCATATTCCGATGCTTAAGTATCTAATAATATTCAAATATTTAGTTTCCAGATTGTTTCAGAAACTATCAACTATATTTTTGTGAAACTGAGAGCTGATGTTGCCGAACTTTCAAAGAGAACAGAGAATTTTGTACAAATGCATGGCTGGGTAGGGATTTTACATTTCTGAGATGTAAGGGCCACTAGTCACTGGCTTCTGAAATGGACGTGAACAGGCTCTGCCTGCTGCCGTCACAGGAGATCGCGAGAGACTCCCACACATACAAACACTGGACACCTAGCAATCTTGTTTCAGCTTTTGTCACTGGCCGTGACAGTTCCAGGACCCTGGCCCAGTAGCAGGAAAGGAGCCAGGGGTTGCCCCCAGTACCTCTGGTTGTTGCTCTGGGGAAGCTAGGCAGCTAGGATGGAAATACTGCATAAAGGTGGGATCTGGGTAAGGGTGTGACTAGGCAGGCTGGGGTAACACCCCAGACAGAAGGGGAATCAGCCAGTGCTGCCATCTGGAGCAGGATGCCACACCTGCACAGGCAGGTGAATGTCCCCAACAGATTCTGGGAGAAGTCATGAAGGCTGGACATATAAAAGCGGGTCTCTGTCCACACTCCTTCCCTTGTGTGGGGCTTCTGACCCTGAGCAGCAGGTGGGAGAGGCCTGTGGATAGAGTGACTGGCTGGGCTGGGGTTACACTCTTGTGGGGTATTCCTGGTATGTAGGGGTTCATGGGCCCAAAACCTGAAACAATATTGCAGCGAAGTTGCCCATCAGTTCAGGACTGCTTGGACTCAATCCTCTAAAAATCCAAGCTTTTGAACTCTTTGAGTTGAACTTGTGCAAACATCTCTGATTACCACTAAACAACGAAGAGCCTCAAACTGCCGTTTTCCTGTCTATGGCTGACACTAACTGGGGTGGAGCCGCAGGATAGCTGGGGAAGACATGAGAATGAAGCTCGTTCTCCCAGCCTCATTCTTCATGGGCCCTGCGGACTTCCCGTCCAGACAACACCCGGCATCAGCAAAGCATCATGCAGGGCGGAAACTTACGCCTCCTTGTAGTAAACAGTGAAGCTGATGAGATCCCTGTAGTCTGGGGGCCGGTACCGGTGCCAGGTGATGATAATGCGGTTCTTCGATGTGGTGGTGGAGGTGAAACGCAATACGTCACTTTCACCTGGGGCACAGAGGTACACCTGTGAGTGACAGAGGTCTCTGCAAAGACACCTGTCTGGGCACTACTTCTCTCCTCCCCACAGATGGCTGTCCCTGACAAGTCCTGTCTGAACACTGCAGGTGGCATTGTTGTTTGTCACTGACAACTCAAACATTTAACTGTGTGAAGACCTGAGGGGCTCATTATTTGTTCTAGCTTAGTCACTGCTCTGGCTATGTGCGCACGAAAAGGGGTGAAAACTCGTGATTGTTCCTTAACCTGAAAGAAGGAACGAAGTGGCTTTCTCTCCCTATGTGATCCCCAAGACGCTGACTGTCCAAGGGGGCCTGGTCAAGCAAGAGTTACTTTTAACCTGGACCAAGTATTTTGCGAGAACAGTACCCGTCCTGCTGGTATGGGTGCCTGCAATGACCCAGGCACCTGCAGAACAGGAATAGGTCTCCAGATGGACCACAGAAAGAACTGCTCTTAATTCACTGGAGGCCTCCAGCCAGAGAACTGGGCTCCATGAAGCTGCTGCACTAGGTGAAGCCCCCTGTGCTCCAGAGTCGAGAGGAGCCCTGGCTGCTGGGATCCAGCAGCAATGCTGCCCCAAGCCCATCATGTTCTCTGCACCAGATTCCACCTGCAGTGAGAACCAGGGAGAACTGACTGCACTCTACTCTTTAGGAGATCCAAAGCTCCCCATCACGCACTGAGGACTAGGAGACAGAGCAGAGACGGAAGGCAGAGACACACCAGGGAGTCCTCTGTGACCAAGGTGCTGGACTGAGACCAGGAACATAGGATAGGTCCTGCTTAAGTGTAGTGCCAAGAAAAAACTCCAACTGCATTTTCAAAGGAAAATAATGGCAGCTGCTTTCTAACCCGACAGGGCAGGCAGGCCGGCTCTAGGGACAGAAGCACTTTGAAAACGCTCTGATACACCTGTTTTTGCTATGGTCTGAACAGGGAATCAGGCAGGGGCTTCGCTGATGGGGAGGTGCTGGCTATACAACCCCCCACTCTAGCTCACGTCTCTCCCTCTAACCTCCTCCTGAGCTACCTGAGTGTCTACCATGCAAATTCAGATACCCACCAAACAGGCTGAGCTCAACTGCTAGGCAGTTCACAGATCTGCCTGTGAGTGTGTGTGTGTGTGTGTGTGTGTAAATCATCTGTGATCATATAAATTACTCTTTTTTTAAAATCTAAAGTCAAGGGTGGAGAGACAATTTGCTTTTACTACCCTCAACCTTCTTAAAACCAGTTTCCCACAAAGGGTTAAGGAAAGGACAATGACTTCTAAGTCCTAGCACCACACTTGCAGAATGGCTGGTCTAACACAGGCTAAGTTCCAGGTCAAAGCTGGACGGTTTATGTTGATGCAGGCTCCGAGCACTTGTCTGAATGCTCTATCATCAGAACAAGGTTATCACTGCTCAAAGTCTAAAAAGCATGCTGGACATAAAGATTTCATCTCTCTGTGCTAGGGCAGGAGCAGGGAGGAGGCCAAACAGGAGGGCTGGGGAGCCTGGGGTCTACAACAGTTTGCTTGTGGCCCATTCCAGGGGACAGGGAGAGCAGAGCTGGTCTGTTCACCAGAGTTGCAGGGTTCTGGCTCTCATGACAGAAATCTGTGTGCCTGTGCAGAAGACCCTGAACTCTAGTTCTGCAGATTCTGAGTGGGTTACAAAGGTTGAATGCATTCAGACAAGTGCTCAGAACATGCATCAACAAAAATCATCAGGCCGTGTTCCCCACTGGCTGAGAAGAAGCACACAGAAACAAGAAGCGACCAGGGCCTGGCAGTCTCCCCAGGGAAGTGGGGAGGGAAAGCCACTGCCCCAGAGAGCAGGAGGGCCGTGGTTACCATGGCCATGAGACCTGCAGTGGGCTGAACACTGTCACTCACAGGAGGCTCGTTCCCCGTTGTTCCTGGTGTTTATGTCCCCTTTGCTCTGGCGCCCTTTCGTCCCCGTCACTTCTTCCATGCGGTAAATTTCAGAGACACACAGTTTGGGATTGAAAGCAAAGTACATCTTCCCAGATTTGATGGTGAGGTTGCGGTGGTCCCAATCCCACAGCTGCTGCAGGTTCTGGTTGTCCAGGACGTAGAAGGAGTAGTTCCTGGAGGCGGAGAAAGCAGCACTAATGCACCTGCCCATGGCCACGGCCCACGCCAGCCTGCGGGCCCATCCCACGCAGTTCCCTTTGCTGTGCCCTTGGCACTGTGACACATTTCCTTTACCAACACAAGATGCAGTTACAGATGCTGGGGAAGAGCAGACAGGGCTGCTAACCATGGCGATGACATGCGTCAAGGGCAACACATTGAAATCGACAGGACCTAATTAATTTTATGACCTCAATACCAACACATAAGCTTCTCACAACAGAGGATGTTCCTCGAATCATTCCCTAGAAATGCCAGTGGTTGTTTTTCTCAGAGCCAGGTATGTACAATGCGCTTGCAATCTGTCCACAGGAGAACAGACATGCTCCGCCACCCAACCTGAACAGCTTACATATTTGCTGCAGTCTCCCATTATCGTTGGGAGTAAATCCTACCCGTGCCCAATCAGCAGTGCATGATGGGATGGGAGACAGCTGAGGGGTGGGCAGCCCCACGCTGCTCCCTCCTCTACACACACCTGTCCTCCTGAGATGCCTTCATGTCAGTCCCTGCAGGTAGGGGAGGAAAGACGCCAACCACACAGTCCTCCCTGTCCCAGAGCTTCCATCCACATGGTCCTCCCTGTCCCAGAGCTCCGATTCAGAGCACAACTCCCTGGCTAATTCAATGGCTGTCCAAAGTCTGTGTGTACAAAATTCACTTTCAGGATGCAGAGCCCTGTACTCGGAGTTTCTGATGTAGTGCTCTGGGGTGGACTGTGATCTGCATTTCTTACGCCTATCAGGTAACGGCGATGCTGCCAATCCTGGGACCATGCTTGGGAAACCACTGGTCCAACAGAGGCTGAGCTGCAGCAGCAAGGTGCTAGAGGCCCTGAGCCCAGCTGGCTGGCCATGGCTCCTTCCCCAGTGCCTATGCTGTCCACTATTAAGATCTGAAGGCAGCAGCAGGGGAAACTGTTAACCTGTGGGCAGTTGGTATCAGGAGAAACCCACATCTTGGGAGGTGAAATAGCAAGGAGTTCAGCTTAGAGACCAGGAAACCATCCCCGCAGGTGGTCTTTCTCTCTAACTCCCACGAAGAACCAGGAGGCAATCCATGGCTGATGGTCCGAGTCTGGTGTGCCAATGGGTCTGTTCTTAATGGACCTAGAATCCTCCTTCCTTCATTTGCTCCCCATCTTTGGTTTCTTTCTGAGGTTCCCCCTTAGGGCTTAGCTTTGGGAGAGCACCCTGAGCTATTCCTAAGATCCACTCAGACCCAAGACACAAACACAGCCAGGACAGAAGAGAATGCTCAAGACCTCTTATGCCCTAAAGGCTGAGTCAACTGGACACTTCTCTGTACCTGCTGGGGGCTTCATCGCGCCCAACCAGGACCTCTAACCAGCTGGTCTATCCTTATCCTGAGTCTTACCTAGAGCAAAGCATGAGTTACTGGTACAACATTGCCAAGCAAACCTGGGGATTCAGAAACCAGGAGCAAATTTGGAAGTGGAGACTCAGGTGCAGAAATGCCATTCATAAGTTGCATGGCTTAAGAAGACCCTTAGTGCTATCTGTGGCATCCTTTACTCATGGTTAGGACAAAAGGGGCCATGAAAAGGTGATAGCTGAGCTCCTTGCTGGCTTTAAGAGCTCCAGTGGGTAGAGGAGATCACAGAGCTGAGGTGGAATATGCCCTGCCAACCTAAAGCCCCAACCCTCTCTGGACATGGGCCTGCCCACACAGGGTCAGAGATCCCAGTACAGCGACTTTGAGCCAAGCCCATCTTTAGGCCTCTGAACACATGCACGTCCCCAAATGATTAGTGAGACCATGAGGACAATGATACTTTTCTTTCGATAACAGCTCTTTCCCTAATGCATCCGTATCCTGGAAAAGAAATCAAAGACATTTTCCAAAAGAGTCCAGATAGTGACACAAGCCTGGTTTGGTCTGCTCTCCCTGGGAATAGGCCCATCCTTGTCTTTGCTTACTACTGGTCAGGGGCTTTCAGTACCATCCTACAATCGATGCAGGGTTGCAGACATGGAAATGGATTTGTTCTAGCAAAAGCCCACCCTTGCCCACAGAGTATCTCCAGTTCCAGAGGAGGAGATTTTGCAAAGCCATTGCTATCCCCATGGATCTGGCTGCTCTCTGGTCCCTGAGATAGTCCCAAGGACAAAAATCTTACTGGTAAAGAAATCTCGGGGCTGGGCTTGGAGTAAGGACTAATTAATCAGGTCAAACTTTCACCTCGATCCAGCCTCTTTTAGTAAAGGCCTCTTTTAGTAAACTAATTTTACTAGCAGGAAATAGAGATACACTGAAAATATCTTCTTAACAAAACATTCTTCTTCCCATGGGAGGAGGCATGAATTATAAATCAGGGATCTGACAATGAATGGCAGGCACCCTGACATTCTGTGTATTTGATTAATCACTTTGAAAAGCAAGATTATCTTTCTGTGAGTAAACACAAACATTTTTCACAACAGGGGAGCCAGGAAACCAATATCAATAAGACCTGGGCACTATGGAGCCCATGGAAGGTAAAGAAAAACATAAATAAAATCCGTATCAACACAATAATCAAGCCATTCATTAGCTCTCTGTCAGTATTGCTCTTGGTTTTCCAACTCCAGGTTTGGTTCTTGCTCCCATCAAACTTTCTCTGTGATCAGATGAGAATTAAAGAGTGTATAAAGGGCAGATTTCAGTCTATACATCTTTAAGATAAACTCACATTTTTAGTGTTTCTTAAAGGAAATGACTATCTAAGGAAATTATTCAGTACATGTGATTTCATTATTATTTCTAAGCTCACTGCTTTTATATCCGTACAATTTTTGGGGTGTTTTATTAGCTCCCAATGACTCTATAATGCTCTGGTTTCATTGGTATTAAGTTTCTTGGCTATCAGCCTTCTCAATGTTATAAAAAAAAGTTTTTGTATCTCTACTTGGATGGGTCCCATCTGCCAATCTGTAGAGCAGCAGGGGTGGGCCTCCCAGAGGGCATGTGTGTCCATTAGTATCAATACTCTAGATGCCCACCTAGCATACACTCGACTGCTACAGTGGCTACCATCTCAGCACTATCCTCCCTAAGTGTCAGCCACACTGCTCCCCAGCAGGAGAGAGGAACAGGGGAGGCACGATGGCTGGGGGTCGGAGCAGTGCCCAGAGGACAGTCCCTGGTACAGGGTTCAGAGCATTCTAGCTGGGATTCCAAAGAGCAGGTCTAAGCCCTCCTTCTACCCCTTGCTCACTAACAACTCTGGGCTGCATCTCTGGCTTCTCCCAGGCTGGATTTTCTGAGCTGCAAATGCGAGATATCTTCCCTGCTCTCTGCTGGTCCTGAGGCCAGTCAGAAGAACTGGATGAGCTACATATAAAAGGGTGCTGTGAGCTTTGAATTACCTCACAAAGGCGTGGGATGACCTCTTTTGCTTTCTGAAGTGTCAAAGTCCTCCAGAACAAAGTGACAGAGAACAGAAAGGTCCTGCACCCTGACACATGGGTCCAAGCCCATGGAGGTAGGAAGGGACAGTCCTCTCCTTTCAAGTTCTTGCTGACCTACTGAAAGGAGATCTGCAAATACACAAGAGATAATTCCAGTTCATTTCTCCAAGGAGAAACTGCTGCCTCCTTCCTGACAGCTGTCTCTAGAGGGCATCAGAACCCAGCACACAGAGTGACTGTCAGTACCAAGCAACTGATACAGCACATGGCCTTTTCACAGAGGCCCCTGCAATCCAGCTGCAGAGGGCTGGCTTCTCCATGTCCAATCCCCACACCCAGTACCACACCATTCCCCTGGGCTTGGCAAGGGCAGAAATATACACCTAGGTGAAGCCAGGCACCATGCAGATACTCAGAAAGTATTTCCCCTTGGGTATTTTTAAAAATAGCTTTATTGGAGTATAATTTACATACCAAACATTTCACCCATCATCCGTGTGCAATTCTAGGAGCTTCACTAAACTGATGCCGCTTTCCAGCCGTCACTGTGACCCATTTTCAGACACTTCTTCCACCCCAAGTTCCTGTGTTCCTGCTGGCGATTCAGCTCTGTGCCTACCCCAGCTATCACTACCTGCTGTCTCCACTACCTTAATTACATGCCACTAGAATCATCATGCATAGCCTTTTGTGTCTGACTCTTCCCTCCAAGTAGCCTGATGTTTTTGAGGTCTGCTCATGTTTTTACACGTATCATACTTCATGCCTTTTTATTGCTCAGCAGTATTCCATGGTGTCACATTTTGTTTATCCATTCGTCTGTTGATAAACATCTAACCTGTTTCCAATGGGCTGAGTTTCGGGGAAAGGTGGGGGACTATTAAAATAACACCGCTTTGAGCACTCACATACAAGTCTTGTATGGACACGTTCTCATTATTCTCGGGTTGATTCTCAAATTGCTGGGTCACATGGTCGACTGTGTATTTTTTCAAATTCCCAGGAAGGTATGAAAGTGCAGCTGGTCTCAGAGCCGCAGGAAGGTAGTATGAAGAGCAACAAAGTCAAGTGGCTGGGACATAACGCAGAAATGCCGGAATGCATCTAGGAAATTTTTACCCAGGGCCTCGTGCATGCTAGGCATGTATTTTTACCACTAAATGACATCTCAAGGTTCACAAATTTCAGGTCTTATAATCTACTACCTCCAAGAATTTTTATTCAGTCCAAGACAATAATTCTTAATAGCATCAAGGAATTCAACTTTCTTCCTAATACCAGAGATGGAACCCAGGGCCTCAGCACTGAACTATAGTCTGCAGCCCTTCTTTACTTTTAATTTTGAGACAGGGTTGTTGTTAACTCAGGCTGGGCTTGAACTTGCAAATCATTTTGCCTCAGTCTCCCAGAGTACTGGCACTATTGGTATGCACCACTAGGCCTGAGGGAATTTGAATTTTTAACAACTTATTTACTTGATGGCATCAGAAAGTATGTTTGTTTAAATCAGGAAATTTTACAGATAGCTAAGACAAATATTTGCTCTTATTCAGGGGCATAAAAATTATAGCAATGTTGCACATATGGATTATAAACCCAGTTCCCTCTGCAAACAGCAGAAAAACACTGATTCTCTTCATACCTGAAGTCAATCTCCAGAAATCACTCAGAGCAGGTGCTGTCCCTGAAGACACACAGGACAACCACTTGTGGCCAACTATGCCACCTCCCTTCTTCAGCGACAGATCAGCTGGTTTTGTGTTCTGGCGAGATTCTGCCTCTACCTGTCACCAGCCTGGAGGTCAGGTTATGAAACTAGCTTATAACGACTGTGACAGAAAGATAAACGGGGCCTGGGTGAGGACTCTGGAGTGCTGCCCTGGGTGAAGGGCTTGGGCTTTTTTTTGTAGTCTGCTCGGGAGATTCTGGGCGGGATCTCAATGACATCTTGGAAGGCCAGTGCTGCTGGGCTAGAAGAACTTCCAAATGATGAATTATTCCCCTATCCATCAAAACAAAGGCTACAGAATTTTCCTTCCATCAGACCAAATGGAGACATTTGAGTTCTCAACGATGATGAGAAAGGTTCAAGAAACACAGCAGGTCAAGGCAGCAATGAGATGAAAAAAATATTATGTTACTTTCAAAGTGCTCTGGGAATACACATACATGAAAGAGATCTAAGGCAGTGGTCCCCAGCCTCTGCTGCGTGGTGAAAATACCTAGAACTCTTTCGAGAAATACTGGTGCCTGACTCCCACCCAGCCCGAACACTGACTGGATGACAGTGAAAAGCAATGTAGAGGTTAAGCATTTCTTAAGTCTCCCCTGTCCATCTCGATGATTCTAGCGTATAGCACAGTCTGGGAGACACTGGAATAAAATTTACCATGGCCTACACCAAAAACACACTGAACCTAAAATTCAGACAGCGTTGCTGATGCTGCTCTACTCAAAATCCTCGAATGTGTCCCATGACCTACCTAAATTATAACTCTGCACCTGGGTGTGACACCTTGCCTTGCTTGCGTAACTCTGGTCCCACCTTCCTCTCCAGTGTTATTTGCCACACAGGCCCCAGGATGCCCCAACTCATTGTCTTTGCTCCTGCCACTCCGTCCCTGAACTGCCTGTCTTCACCCTCGCCTGTCTCTCTCTGGAAATCCTTCAAGGCCTATCTCACACGCCATCTCTTTTCTCGAAAGCCTGTCAGATCTTCTCCCTCAGAGAAAGGCACTTTCCTTTCCTTCCCCGGAACGGCACCACCCCGTCCTGTGCACTGCACTCTTTGACAGTCATCTGTTCATCACACCCCTTTCTTTTCATCTTCTGCCTTTTCTCTTCTGGCAGCAGAAATGAGGTAGCAGCTAGAGGTGCTGTGCCTCACTTTACCCTGAGCCTCAGAAAGGAAAGAAAGTGAGTTGCTGCCACTGCCCACCCCTGAAACAAACAGAGGACTTGGGGAGTTCAGCACAAGTGAAGATGAGGTACACCTCTGCTCACAGTAAGGAAGGCAGCCATGAGAAAACAACCCCCACTAAGAAACGCAAGAGTCTCTAAAGCTTTTGCTAGAGAAAGGTAGCTTCTGAAAGGAGCACACAGGCTGTCCCAAGAGCAGGGCAGGTCTCACCTTCACCTGGGCCAACCCCAAACATGCATGTTAAAGGACCAACTGATACTTCCGGTTTTATATAATGAGAAACACATCATAAATATCCTGGGAACAAAAACCTGTCTTTAACTTTTAGCTACATTTAAGTGCATGATACATTTCCTTAGTGTACAATGAAAAGGTAATCACAACATGTAATAACTCCTAATAAAAATTAACTAAAGTCTTCTCTTGGCTTTTTCCACTAGGCCTACCACTTGCCCAAGTCAGGGGGGGAAAACACACCCCCAAAACAGCCTATCCTTAAGTAGCCAGAAAATTTAACAGCTACCAATCTGTCAAAGAAAAAGTGCTTATGATATCAGGGATTCCAGAAGAGAAGTCTACTTGGAAGAAAAAAAGAAAAACAGAGCTAAACGCATTTTTTAATTTAATGCAATGACCATCATCTCGGTGTGGGACCTTGGCTTCCCCCAAGTACGGTCATACACAGGGCTGGGCACGGTGGCAGTCTCCTTAGATTTGGAAAGAGAAAGGAGTTTTCTAAAGAATCAGTGTTCCCAGTGGGGAGGACAACGTGCTTTTCAAGGATGGAATGAAGAGCTGCCCTCTCTCGTTAGCTATATCAGATGATGGAATTTTAAGAATTTAAGACTGACCAAGATTATGTCTGAGAAAAACTGGGAGGCTGTAAAGAAGCCCTTATGCGGTAACTTTATCCAGTTGGGGCCGATAAATCTTCAAGGACAACCTTTCCCACGACCTTCTCACCTCTCCTTCTCCTGAATTATTTTCCCAAATTCTCAATTGATAACCCCTTTTCATCTCAGAGCCGTATCAGCACGTCAGGCAAGAGTCCTACTTAAAAGGGAGAACGTGAAAGGGATGGATGTGAAGGTGTGTGCAGGCTGACGGCTGCAGAGAAATTAAGTCTGCAATAATCACCAGCTTTTATCCTCCAGTGAGAAGTTCAGAGTTGTTTTAAAACCTCTATTATAAAGCACAACTCTGCAGAGGGCAAAAATTCTATCAACAGTGAAAATCCTGTAAGCTAATCAATAAAAACAATTTCATGAATCAAGATTATTTTATCACAAAATGAACTGTCTATACTTTCCAAAGTCTCTTACGTTTCATTATGTTAAAATATGAAACGATTTTTATATAGTTCAGCACAGCACCTTGAGGCAGATATGGGTCATGTAAATCATAATTTTACTCAGAGTTAAACAATTTAGACTGATTACTTTCACGGTTTGCGGAAGAGTCCCCAAAAGCATGGCAAGCCCTGACCTATGGGCTCCAATCCATGAGGAATGAAAACATCTCTGTTATCCAAAATACCACCACCCTAGGGGTGGAGAATCACAGCTCTATGCAAGACCCCATCAGAAAGGCCTCCATCACCCAGGCAGCAAGGCAGCCCCCGGTTCCTACTGTGGAACAAGGAAGTGACAGAGAGACCTCCCCTTAGCTAAGTTTCACAAACACTATACTTTGTAGCGGAGAATGATAAGCTGAAACCTGGAGCACTCACCCTTCCAGCTGCTCCTCCCCCAGGATCAGGCGAAGGTTTTTCAGGAAGGACAAGGAGACCAAGGCATGGGAATGGCGGATCTTCACGTAGCCAGTCACCACCTCAATGAGCCCCATGAAGTTCTCCAGTTCCGACGCAATGTTATCTGCGGCAGACAGGGACTGGTTCATGAGGTGCTCACTTGGTGTCAGGGGGATGAGCTCAGACTCATACAAACATGGGTGGGGGGCAATTCAGGGAAGTCAAGTTTGGGGGGAACTCTCTGAGATGCTTAGGATCTTGACACAGAACCAACCATCATTCCTCGTCCCCAAAACATACTTTCCATAGCCACTCCTGGGCAAGACTGCTGAGCCAGGGAAAGACATCTCTAGGAGTCTGGGCACTGCGGTTCCCAGACTGATTAGCAGAAGGTAAAATCATAAATATCGGACTGCCAATTAACTCAGGCTGACAAATCTAGAGATGTCTCTGAATATGCTCTGTCAACAGATAGGCCTGCCTCCACAGGGCAAGGCCGTGATTAAGTCAACAGTGTTTTCTTGGTCTCATTAGGAACTGCCTTTGCTGGGTTTCTAGTTCCTAAGATACAGGTTCTATATTTAAAGCTTTCATCTTACTAAGACTGGAGGAAAACACACTGCATGTACAATGGCTATCTGCAAGTGATTTTTTTTCCCCTTTTATTTGAAGCACTGTGGATTGAATTCAAGGCCTCATGCATGCTAGGAAAGCATGCAACTACTGAGCTATCTCCCTGGGTCTGCAGATGATTTTTAGAAAGCCATTCCTACATTTCTGTGTTTTCTAGAATGATCATGTACTGCTTTCATAACTGGAAAATAGCTGGAAAGAGAGTTGCTAAAACAGATACTAAAAAAATCACGTAGAAACTATGATTTCCTTTAATCTTGTTAAAACTACATTTTTCTCAGAGTAAATAATAAATAATATACTTCAGTTTGACCTGTGCCGAAATTATTATAAAGAATTTACTGAAGTGCAATTCAATGATAGAATTTGACCCATGGTGATTTATGAAGGATTACTTAATAAAAGGCTCTGTTTTGTTTTGATTTGATAAAAAAATAATGGGGTGTTTTCTTGGAGGAAAAGGTCTTACATTTAATGGTTTTTCATGAGAAATTAAGAGAAAATTCAAATTGGGAAGAGGAGAGGCTGTTCCTACTTGATGTATACTGAACAAGCTCTTGGATTTAAGAGGGGTAAGCAGTAAACCTCTTGGTCAAAAGCTGGAAAACTCCTTCAGCAAGATATCCCATTGCCCCAAATCCAGCTGACTTCCTGCACTGGGCACGAACTAAAAGACATACTTCCGCATTATGCACAAATATGTGCCAAATGATACTTCTGTATGGATTTACTTCATTGATTATTTTTTATCTTTGGGATAGAATAATTGTTTTAAAAAAAAGAAAGTTTAGACACTTACAAGATATGTTCTAGGGATAAGTTGAAAGTAAGATAATAAATGTAGTAAAAGAAAAAGGGCATAACTGTACAAGTACTAGGAGGTGACAGGTCCTAATGTTGGGGATGGGGTTGTCTCTGCTGTGAAGGGACGGGAAGATAAAAAAAGGGGGGACAGCAAAAAACTTAACTACCCAAAACCTTGTTTCTGCTACCTCTAAAATGTAAGAATACTTTGATGATTTGACAAATATTAAGGCAAAATAAATTTATAGAATAAATATGCTAGTCATTTTTTTTCTCTTCAAACTAAAAAGAAATGCCACCTACTGCAAAGAAAGATGATTTTACAGGGACAAGACTGAAGCTTTAGTATGTCATGACTCAACGTGGTAGCTTACAGCTTCCGGAAGGAAACTGGGACATCTACCTCTTTTGATCTGTGTGAAATATATACATAATAACATCAAACTCTGCCCTTTACTCTGTCTCTTCAATATATGCAAGTAACCCAAACTCTTTGGACTTATGGATGCAGAATCTGGCCCCAGCGGGAGCAGCTGAGTCATGGTCTAATCCCCTGGTCCCTTCTGGGTTTCTTGTGTGCTGGGACCTGCCTCTCCAGCACAAGGCATGACTACCAGGAAGATGAGGGACGGCCCTATGTATAGGAATAAAGCTGTACCAGTAGCTGAAGTACAGCCCGCCTTTCAATTGTGTTTTTATCGCTGAGGGAAACGGAAAGAAGAGACAGCATGTCTGAGGCTTGCATACTCTGTTGTTTCTCTAAGCTCATATTTCAGTTGTGGCTCAGGGACTGGATCAGGAGCCACAGTGACAGAAGGAAGCCAAGGATGGAGCCTCCTGTCCGGGTGGGAGTGGAATACTCACTGCCCCGTCGGATATTAATGAGCAGGTTGCCCTTGAAGATGGTGCACCCTTGGAGCATCTGAGCAGAAGTCACAGAGTCAATGGTTTTCGTCTTCTTTTCTTCCTCGCAGACCTTGGGGCAAGGACCTTCACAAGGGATGCAGTACATGCTGTGGAAGATAAAAAGAGGCAACTGAAAACACAGAATTGAGTCTGTCTCCTTGCATTAAAGAACTGTAAACAGGCTTTCTCATTGCTATGATAGCCTGTGTTACAAAATGCAAGTGCTTTGATGTTCACGAGTGGCCATCGGTATCTCATGCTCAAGCCCACCCAGGATACGCTGCTCGAATCGCAACCGAAAGGGGAAAGTAATCACACGGGAAAAACATGATGCTTATTTCCAGACAAAAGCCGCAATCCATTCTGGAAGCACATGTGCATCTAGACTGCTTCCTGGGAGCCAGCTGGTTCCGTGTGGGAGACTCAGACTCAGAGAAAGGAAGTCCTGGTGGCTCAGGAGAATGAAGCTGCTCTTGGGTTCTATGGACCTTGCTACACACTCAGAGGAGCCAGGAGACGTGAAAGGGAAGTGCTGTGGCCACTAACAGGAGTCTCGCTCCTGTAGTCAGTATCCCAACAAATCCCACTGAGGGATTCTAAAAGGCATGTGGTGCAGCACAGATCCATTATTTTCTTGCTAAAGCACAACTGAAATTATTTTTTGACAATGTTTTGCAGAAACTTGTAAATTGATCCAAATGTTGTTTTTGCTCTGCGTACAATAAAAGCAAGGAATTTCCATTACTTTGCAGCAAGTTCCTATTTCAGATGCTATCCTGAACATACCGCAAACCACCAAGAGTCAAAGACAAGGAAGACTGGCATTTCTCCTGCTTATCTACCATTATTTGGGAAACAAGACAGAATGCAAATCCAGCAGCTGAACATTTGAGATCTACAGTTATATTTAGAATCAGGGTTACAAGTGAGGTCAATTTCCAAACAAGATAAATGATATAACCTTATGGGATGTGTGTGTAATCAGATGGGAAGCTAGAGCCACTATATTTAAATTACTGTTGTTTAATGATCTTTACTGAGCTTCATGAAGATAGGTAAAAAAATATAAGAAATGTGTAAGTCAGAGCTGTTTTTATTAAAGTCCTTCCCTCTCCTCTAAAATGTTGTATTTATAACAAAGATACAGGAATTTGTTATGTTTAAAAGCTAACAAGTAAAGAAAATTTCCTGGCATTGTCCTATTTCATGTTGGGGTCCTGCAAGAACTGGACCCACCCAAATAAGGAGAACAACTCCTTCCTCTGATACCACACTCAGCATTCTCATTTCCAGCTTGGGCAGTGGCCTCCTTTCTGCATTTTTCTTTAGTTTCCTGTTGTTCCTTATTTACTCAAACACTCCACACCCTTCCTTTAAAAAAATTCTTATTTCAAAATAATTGTAGATATACAAAAGTTGCAGAGACAGTGGAAAGGATGCATGCACCCTCCACCAAATTTGCTCCAGTATCTACAACATCTTACTTAATGTAATACAATGTCAGAACCAGGAAATTGATATGGCACAACACACAGATCCGTGTGGCCTCCAGTTCAATCAAGATCTCTGTGTGTGACCCATCTGTAGCCACTTCCCCTCAGCCTGGCCCCTAATGGTAGCCACTGATCTGTTCTCTAGCTTTATAATTTTCGTATTTTGAGAATGTTGAATAATAGAATCATACAGTGGGGGCACATTTTGAGACCAGCTTTCTTTACACAACATCTTGTCCTTGGGATCCATCCAAGTTGCTGTGTATTTCAGTGGCTTGTTCCCTTGTACAGCTGAGTGATCTTTCTGTGTGTAGATATCATAGCCCATTTCACCACCCACCTTTTATAAGACAACGAAGTCATTCCAGTTTCAGTAGACTACAAATAAAGCTGCCTTGAACAACTGTGTGCTTGCTTTTGTGTAGACATAAGTTTTCATTTCTCTGGGAGAAATGTTCAGGATTGCTACTGATAGGTGGTGAGGTAGATCCCTGTGTACTTTCTCCTATCTTTTATTCAAAGAGAAAATTCTGAGCTACCCTTTTATTAAAATGTCTAGAATTCATCTAGCACTTAAACATGATTTTGCAAGGAAGTATTTCGCTTATGTATTTATAGATTAAACTTCCTCAAATTCACTCCGGTACAAAGTATAAAAAGTATTTTAAAAATATTTTAAGGCAAGTATTATGCAGGCCTCAAAAGCAGAGAGAGGATATGTATTATTTCTTGATAATGTTTTATTTTAAAATGGAAAAGGTAGCTGTGCAGTTCTGAACAGACTGCAAGAATGGGCCGGGGAAACAATGGCTTGATTCTTTAAATATGCTGTGAGGGAAGAAAACAACACTATGAATCCAGCACTCTCACTCTGCCCACCAGCCCAGTAGCTGCAGAATGACCACAGGCCTCGGGCAGCAGAAGCTGCTCATGCAGATGAGGAATGGCACTATCCCAAGTCCATAGACTAGAGGTGTTCAGGAGGAGGGTGATGTCTCCACTGTGGCCAAGCTTCACTGTGATGCCAGGCACTCTTCTCTAGGACCCTCAGGAAGCATTGATACAGCCCTTCTCTGGGCCAAGGATGCACCATAGCTCAATACAAGTCCCCAGCTTGATGCCACTGGGAGACAGTGGAAACCTGAAGAGATGGGGCCTAGTGGAAGGTCTTCTGGCCACCGGAGGCACGTCCTTGAAGGAACAGTGGGACCTCAGCCTGTTCTCTCTGGTCTCTGTCTCTCTTTCATTCCTGGACATGAGGTGAATGGCTCTATTCCCCCATTTCCCTGTTCAATTCCCAATATCCTCAATAAACAAGCACTATGAGCTGTTGTTCCTAGAAGCCTGTAATCCCAGCACTCTGGCAGGCTGAGTCAGGAGACTCACAAGTTCGGCACAGCATGAACAACTCAGTGAATGAGCAAGACCCTACCTCCAAATGACAAATAAAGGGCTGGGGGTGCAGCTCAGTGCCAAGGTGTTGGGTTCAATCCCTGGGCAGGGGCGCGGGGGCAGGTGGGAAGTCTCTGGGCCAGATGTAGTACCAGCACAGGAAGATCAGAGTTCAAGTCCTTCCTGGGCAATGTGGAGAGATCTTGTCTTAAAGCAATTGTTTAAAAATAGTTTGAAATTTAGGTCAGTGTGAAAGTTCTGGGTTCAGACCCCAGTACTGCAAAGAAAAGAAAGAAGAGCGAGGGGAGGAGGGGAGGAGAGGAGGAAAAGCAGGAGGAGGAAAGGAGGGACAAGGCAGAGCCCGCCTGCCCACCCCATGGCGCCCAGCTCGGACCTCTGGCTGCCGTTGCGGATGAAGCCCGAGGGACACTCCTGCATGCACTCCCCGTCATGGATGACGAAGCCCTCGGAGTCACTGCTCTCAGCATTGGGGATGTTGGCGCAGAAGTCTCGGTGCACACAGCGCCAGCCCTCGAAGCGGTAGGTGCCGGGTGGACAGGCGGGCACGCAGATGCCAGCATAGTAGAAGTGTCTGCAGGCCACACAGGCCGTGTCGTCGTCGGGTGCATGGCAGCTGCCCAGGCACTCAGGATGGCAGCACTCCTGGTACTCGGTGCACGCACGCTTCCCGCAGGCACTTGGGCACACTGTGGACAGAAAGGCAGCGGGTGAGACAGGTGATTCATCACCCTACCTTGGGGCTCCGCAGAACACAGAGGCTCTGCGCAGCCTTTCATCTCCACTCCCCTTAGGTATGGGAGGAGCTCTGAGGTGCAGGTGAAGGAGGGGTCCCCCCCAGCCCACCCCATCCCACAGGAACCACATGGTTTGCCAGGTTTTCCAAAGGCATAAGACTCTCTGCATTCAAACACAGTGGCCTCCTTAGTCCCTGCCGAGACCCCTACAGGACGCGGGGACCCACACGTGCACAGCCAGGAGAAAGTCCAAAGTACGAATTAGGCACAAGGAGAGACAAATGATAACTACTCATACAGCTGAACAATTCTAGCAGTAGCTTGCAATAAAAGTCATGTGTTCTCTGTCTCTCTCTGCCCCCGCCCCAGTGCTGAATTTAACTCAAGGCCTCCAGTGCTCTCCCACTGAGCTCCAAGCGCAGCCTTTCTGACCGCAGGTCACCAAGTCAGTGTCAGGCCTCTGTGTGGATGTACATGTCTCCGAGCCCAAGGTACCACAAATATTAGAGACCATCTCCTCTCAACCCTTCTGCGTTTGCGGGAAGCAAACGCAGGGTCTAATAACCACAGAGCCACAATTCACATCCCAAACAGATGAGCTGGTGTTTATTTCCATACAATGCTGTAATGATCACACTCTACAGCACTTGCAAATAAAGTATAAATCAACAAAATATGAAATCTGGTTTGCATTAAACATGTCCTACTTCTTCCTTTCCTGAGTTAGAAAACAATAAAAAAAGTCACTTAAGTATGTATATTTTTGATTCCGTCATGCAACAGTGAGTCAAGATTCTATGGGTTTTTTTTTCTTATAAAAATACAAGCTCCAGAAAGAATCAGAAATCACAGAGAAGAGAATGTAAAGAATGTGCCTACAAATGGCCCCTTTATTAATGCCTTCCTATGTCCTTTCTTACACATATGCACAGGCACATAAATATAAATACCTATAAAAAGAATTTTTTTAGCATAATAGACCATGAATTCCACAACTAATTAGCAGAACCATCACATCCCATGGTAGAACTGATTAAGTTTTATCTCGTCTTCTATTATTAGACATTTCACTATTCCCAATTTTTTTGTTACTCAATCTGCCCTGCAATCTTCATAAGCAGTCTTAATATTTCACTAGGATCCGTTTCCAGAACAGACCTTGCAGAGTCAAACTGTCCTCTGAAAAGTCTGCACCAATTTACACCTCTAAGTGTACCCAAAAACCCCTGCTTCATTGCAGACAAGTGAATATCAACAGATATCAGGACTTGGATGTCCCCATGATTAGCAGCAACACTGAAGAAAAACGATGAATTCTCATGATACTGTCAAACTTAGAATAATGTCGTTACTTTCTCCTTTGAAACCATCCTTTGGCAGAAACATCAGGTTGCTTTCCACCATTTTCCTCTTATGCTTTTTTGCTATGACCTCCCTAGACAACATAGGGAGTAGTAGCCACGTATCTCCAGGTCTGCCTGGTGAGGTATATGCAACATTTAAAAAAAAAATTTTTTTAACTGGAATTTCCTGCAAAACTCCCTAAAGCCAAGAGGAAGTGCTCTTTCTTCTTCTCACTGGCTGGACTGCAAAAGTAATGGAAGGAGCTCATGCAGCCATCCTGGACACCAGATATCACATTAAGAATGGCACAGTAGACACTGGAAGGTTTTAGCTGTGGAAGGAAAGAAACTTTATTCTATTTAAATGACTGCTGTTTGTTATATGCAACTGAACTAACCCCACCTGAGGCACACCGGAGCTATGTGTAAGTGAAGAAAACCATTCCTATTGGTTTATATCTGTCATTCTGTTCAACAAAATTAGCTCTCAGTGACTTTTCTTCTAGGCACTTGAAAAAACTGACCTATCTAACAAATGACAAGGAGTTCACTATCCATGATCACACCAACGAAGAAAATGCTGTAGGAACTCCTGAAATGTTAGAGACATATACTGTTGTGCTATCTGAGAGAAAGTAACACGAATTTAATTTATATGCTTAGCAGAGTTGCAGCAAACACAGTCATCATAAAATCTCTCACTCAAAGACATGGAAAAACCAAAAATATTAAATTACTATTTAATTTCAAATACATTCATTACTAAGATTGCTTCAAGGATGAAGATCCAAAGAAACACTAAAATTCTATATCCTGATTTCAGATTTCTGAACCGATGACAGCAGGCTCTAAGTCTACTAACAACAATTTATCAAGCTTCTGCTACACATATGGACCAGTGGTGGTCCCTCTCCTCAGGTAAAGATGCAGTATCAGGGAAGCAGAGGGGAGCTGGAGGTGGATGGTGTTTCCCGGCCCCTGGAGGCCAGGGAAGATCCACAGAACGAAGAACACCAAAGAGGGAATCACGTGCAAATGTTTATAAAAGCAAACAAGCTGCTGCAGCTGGAGAACCGGGCCCTTGCGCTGGCAAGGGCGGGGGCTGGCCTCAGATGTGAGGCAAAGGAGGTTCTGCAGGGGGCCAGGCTCAGGGCAGCCGGCAGTGAAGGTTTCAGGCAGGAGGAGCCAGATTTTCACGTCAGGAAGTTCATCTGGAGGCAGAACCGTGGGTTTGAGCACCACAGAGAGCAGAGCTAGAAAAAGAGGGGCCCGGCAAGAGGAAAGGAGTCCATGTGATGGGTCCATGAAGCTCAGTGCTTGGCTGCAGAAACGCAGCTCACGGTCTTGCTTGCCAAATGGTACAGTGGCACAGGCTAGGGCACCCTGCCTGTCCCTCATGGAGCTGCTCTCCACACATCTTCTGTCACCCTGCTTCGGGGAGGGGAGGCAGGGAAAGCTGGCTAGGAATCTTACAGTCAACATTCAAGAGTAGCTGGGACCAGTATTCACTTACAGAACTCCCTTTTCCTCACGATGGAAAGAAAATCCTATAAAAAATGACAGGTATCAGATACCAAGATCAAATGGTTATTCAACCGCTAGTAAAAAATCAAGAGCTAAAATTTAGAAGAACAGAAATGTCCCCGAATCTCCTCACAATCACTTATATCCACATACATACATGTTGTGTTTTCTCAGGATGAGAAGGGAAAATAAATACGTGATCAAGAACCTGTTAGATGTGTTCTGCATTTCCACCTCTTCCCTGTTCATGGGAAACAGTAAGTCTGAGCAGGAGTCCACTGCGACCTCCCAAAGGGAGAACGAAAGGGACCCAGCTGCCCGGTCAGTCAGATCTTGCCACTCATAACATGCAGGCTGGGAAAGTCAGGGTTATTGTAAGGCATGGCAGCTACTTCTGAGTGAATCTCAGTAACGTTTAAGGTTGGCAAGATCATCTTCTTTGCTTGTAGAACAATTTCCATTAAAGGGAACCCAAAGTCATGGGCTTCTTTATGGTAAATGATGTAAACTGTGTACAAATGCACACCTGTTTCCTGCAGGGGAACAGACACAGGGTGCAATGGGGCGAATGGGAGGTTGGAAGGACAGGTAACTTGCTTGCTAGAGGACAAACTCCATAAACAAGTGGTTGCTCCAAGGGGTGAAGTCAGTGATCCCTTGGCTAAAGCTCCCTCCAGGAGGACGGGATTCCGGAAGGCAGAACATGAGGAAGTGTGGGATTAAGAGTCCTGGAGCCAGCCCCAGAAGCTCGCTGTAAATTTTGTCTCATCTCAATGTATATAAATATTATTAGTGTTCAGGACTATTAAGGGATTTCTTGAAAAGCCCGGGGCAGTGTGTCTCGCCAGCAGATGGATGGCTGCTCCACGCGAGTACCGAACTTAAAATTTAGTGCAGTGACCAAATTTCCAATTACGTTGCTGTGAGGGAAAGAAAGAAACCTCTCTGGTATCTGAGGAGGAGGAGCACACAGAGTGTGATTAAAGGCATTTCAACTTTGGAAAATGAGAAGGAAACGGAACTTGCTATAAACCAACAAATGTACAGAAGAAAAAACAAACTGATTTGGCCCAAGAGATCTTTCTATTCCTTGGAATTCTTACAGCGACCAACAATAAAAACAAAAGCCTATGTAAATGGTTGGAAACGCTAACAATGTGTCCCACATCAACCACTAAGAGGCCTGGTTCAGGATCACAATCACATAAAAATGTGGCGCTGCACTGAAGAGCTTGTTCTCCTCATTTTGGAGACAGGAAAACATGTCACACACATGCGCCTTTAAGTGTCTCCTTCCCCAGAGCCCCTGTATTTATTAAATTTTTCCTAGGTATTTTAAAAATTTGTATGATTTCAACTCCGATAAAGCACTTTTTTTTTTTTTTGTCTTTTTCCTTTTTATCGGTACCGGGGATCGAACTCACGACTGCCTGCTTGCAAGGCAGGCGCTTATGCCACTGAGCTAAATCTCCAGCCCCGATAAAGCACTTTTAAAAGCATGTGATCACAAAATGCTCTGCTAGAGGCAAAGATGGAAAACTCCACCTTTTCACGAGGGACAAAAATCAGAAGAGGGGCCACTTAGCCACACCATTTTGTACAATTCAAACAATTTTACCTTCAATAATTTCTGAAGGATAGAACTCGTCTGTGGATGTTCATCTTTTAAGTCAAAAGAGAGTATTTTAGGGACATCTTAGTTATTCTGGACTGCCTTAAGTGATAAACCACTGTTCTATATAAGAACAGGGATGCCTCGCCTAATTGGTATGGAACGTTACAAAGTTGACTGACTGCTACTCACCCTAGGAAAGTGAACTTTTATCTCAAAAATGCATCAGAGAAGCACATGGTCCAAAGAAATTTCACGCCCTTTTGCTTAGAAGAGGTAGAACAGAGAAAGAAGGTTCTAGATGGCTCTGCCAGAAGCCCACCCAAAGATGTTGGCATTCTCCAGAGAGCACTTGGCTAGGGAGAGATAATGAGAAAGGCTCCTTTTGAGCTTTCCAGCGAGGCTCTGTGTTAGACCCTGCAGACAGATCTCATAGGTTCTTGGGTGTAGCATTTGGAGTGGATTAGATGGGG